AAAAAGTTGGTCGGCAAAAGAAAAGCGAGAAATCTATGCTTGACTGATTGATTTACTCTACTTATGAACATAGTATCAAGCCTAATTGCGTTGGACAACAGTCACCTGTTCAATTATTTTGATCATAGTTACTTATTCAGCTGCAAAGTTATGACCTCAGACCTGAGAGAGCTACAAACCCTTAATCACAAATGTCATTCTTTTTCTCCAGCAAAAGGTTTTTTAAACGTAGCTTTCATTTTTAGAAACTGCTACCTGCAACACATGAGGACCAAATTCAGGCAGAATTGATCCAGATGAAAGAGGAATTGGACAAAACAGGCCATGAACTGATTGAACTCCGGAAAACTAAAGCTGAACAATTGCAAATCATTGACGACCTGAAGGTAGGGTGACTGACCTTAAAACTCTTTCCAGGGGTCTCAGTATTGCTGTGGCTTTCTTCATAAAGTATATACAGAAACTGAATGGTTGTTATGTGAAGTCCTTTCCTGCTGTTTCACAACAGATACGTTCTTTTTACACAACTGACAACTAAGTACTGTTTCGTTAGTAAGAACAAACCACATGAAGGGAGCTGGCACTAGGCGTGAAACTCGAGATCACAATACGTTGGCGATATCGAGAGCACCACCAGTTTGCACGAATAGAAGGGTGGATTCTGTTATCTGTTCAAATGTTCTTAGAGAAGCACAGCCCGAAAGAAAAATTCTGATGATGCTGACAGTTTCGTTGACTGACAGCCATCGTTTTTAGTTTTGATAAAGACGGCTGTCAGTCATCGAAACTGTCAGCATGATTAGAATTTTAGAACTTACTAGCCTAATGAACCTCTTCAAGAGGTGGAATCTGTAGTCACTACATATTTGTTCAAAGATAAGCTTGACCATGTGTGGGGTTTTTGGTTGTACAGGTTCCAGAAAATTTTCGACAGATCCATTTTGAGTCAAATGGAGAAGTCCTGTTCGAACAAAACGGCTACAAGTGGGTTCTACAATTGTAGGTTACCAGTCTTTTACGAGAGTAGTGTAAAACTTTGTTAAGATTATTTCAGTGAATATCCCGTACGGGGACGTATTTTCCGACGAATTCTGCGAGCTCGCGAAACGCGGAAATAAAGAATCAACATTTATTTTCTGATTTACCCCCCCCCCCCCTTCGCCCCTTCTCCCAACCCTTGCGCTAGCGATCAATAAATCCTGCTAAATGGGTTTTATTTTTATCCGTGCGCTAAAAGGTTCCCAGCAGAAAAGTAGAGTGTTTGTGAATAGGATATGCAGTGAATTGCTTGGCTTTTGTGACAGCGTTGGATCCTGAAACTAGTTATAGAAAAGGGTGAAGCAACTACTGGTGACCCGCGCTGGTAAATAAATTACCTTGTTTCGTACAAATATGGACAGAAATCACTAGTTTAGTATTTATTTATCCATTTATTTATATTTTAGAAAGAGCTGTCACAAGTAAAAAGAAGAAACAAACAGCTGTGTTTCATTCTTAGTCAGGCGGAGAGTAAGTGTTTGAACCCGGTTAGGTTACTATTGTTATTTAGTACGCGCGCTCTGATTGGCCGAGAGGCGTGTTTGCATGATAGTATGTAAACATGGTTGTGACGTCAAGAAGTTTTGCTTTTCGCGCGCTAATCACGCAAGTACGAATTTAAAAAAGGTTTTGAGTTGAAAACCTCGACAAGTTTACATTATTTAGCCATTTCATCGCCGGCTGAAACTCGGAAAATCTTCAGAAACATGCTGTGTCCATGTTTTTTTCGCTGGAGCTGACATTTTAAGCGAGAAAAACCCGTATTTTGGAAAGCATCTTTTTTGCAAAACAAGGACGGATTACGCGTACAAGCTTCGTGTACAAGACTTCGCGACTGGTGAGAATTTGTCTTTTAATCAGTGCTCTAAACAAGAGAGTTTTGCTTTTTTCCTCAGGAAAGTTATTTTATAAAAGCAATTGAAAACTTTTCCCCTGTGTTTGCATATCCTGATATAAACACTCGAGGGGTTGGGAGAGCTCTCGACAGTTATGCAAACTCTCGACTTCGTCTTGGGTTTGCATAACTGTCTCGAATTCTCCCAACCTCTGTCGTGTTCATATCAGGCTATGCAAACACGGAAAACGTTTTCTATTGCTTAAGTAATATATCACGCCCGAGACGCAGTGTGTCATCACTAGATGAAACACTGAGTAGACAGTTGAAAATGCGAGTATTTTTGACGAACTTCGAGGGGTTTCATCTGGTGATGAAACACTGTGTCGAATGCTTGATATTGTTTCTCAAACAAAACCGTTTTAGCAGGGGAAATTAAGGATAGAAAATGAGCAGTTTTTCATCTGGACATCGATTTCCTTTGTATTTTCTTTATGAATTATTAATGAGTTTGAGAAGGTCCGACAAAGTTACGATATTTTTTGACATGTATTTAAAAAATTTGCTTGCACTTTTGAGGGTCTTGCAGAACCCATCATCTTGGTTTTTGCTTGGTTCCTCATTATTTTTAGCAAAGCCTGTCTAAGTAAACTCAGTAAAAAGATCTCAGGTTTTTGTAAAAATCATTTTAAAAAAGGTATCGAGTGGCGTGGAAGCGGGATCGTCATTTCAACTTACAGTTGTGGATGGTTTCATTGGAATTGATAATATAAAAACTCCATCATCTACTTTCACTTACGATATGAAAGCATAACCTGTCGAGGGGAGCGTCGTTCTAAGTGTTTTTCTTTAGTTTGTCGCGAGTATTTTACTCACAATGAAACTAGCAACTTGAAGTGTTTTTTTTTCCCAAGTGTTTCAAATCACTACCAGGATCGAAAACGCATGAATGTTATTTTCTTATCTCTGGGTCAAATATTTTGTTATTTGCGAAATTCTTATTACGGAAGGGGAAGAAATACACGGTCGGGTCAGTTGTGCAAGACGAATCAGAAAAAGGCTATAAGCCGTTGTTAGCAGGGGCAACGAAATAATTCATTATCTACTGGCTTAAACCAGTCCTGGTTGGCCATTTTCAAATCTGAGAGTAGTCTTGATTTTGATCTCATATTTTTTTCCGGCCAATAACATTTATGTAATCTTGATAGAAATCTTCGACTGCACTGAAATTCTTAAGGTGAGATTCGATGATCTAAAAGTGGGAATTTCTGCCAGTTTGAAATTATAATTCTCAAGTTCCCTACCTTAACACCTGACAATGATTATTAATCTCTTTTCAGTGAAAGAAAAGTCTGAGCTTGTGATGCAAATTGAAGAGTTAAATGAAGTGAAAGAACAGGTGCGAGGGAATTTAGTTTTCGTACGTTTTATATCATTTTTGCCCTGAAGCAAATCACGTTCTGTTCACACGTAATTTCTTTTAACAGGTTGTACAGTTACATGGGCAGCTAGAACAAGAGAGATCTAAAAATTCCGCCTTAAAGATCGAAATAAATAAGGTACAAATTTTGAAAGACCCTGTTTACATGGAGTGGGGGACCCCGGTTTAGTGGGGTAGGTTTCTTTTGTTTTGTGCCCTAAGAGCGTGAAAACAAAAGAAACCAACCCCACTAGACCGGGGTCCCCCACTCCATGTAAACAGGCCCTAAGATTTGTTTGTATCCGTCGTATTGGTTCGTGGTAACGTTGATCCCTTTTTCAATTAATGTTCCTTGTTAATAATTTGTTTTTTAAATTCTTTTAGTCATCAGGAGGAAGGCAAAGACATGGCTCGTCTTCTTGAAAAGATTATCATACTTCAGTCTATTTTTTATATTAAATGTTGTAATGTTCTAAAATGTAAAAAAGACGGTGGTATAGCCCTCGTATTCTTGAGGTACTTTGTTTCGTTACCCCTTTAAAGATTGCCGTTACAGTTAAGCCCGGCCGATCAAACATTCCTGCGGGGAATAAAATGTTACGTCGAATCTGGAAATGTTCATTTCATTTTTCGTTACAGTGTAGCGCTTTACAGTAAGTTGAAACATGAACAATTCAAACCAAACCTCGTTCAAAATAAGTGCGCGCTTCATGTATTGTGAAGAAGGACCTTTCATGACCTTTACCTTTAAATTTATCAACTCTTTTATTGAAAAGCGCGGCATTAAAGCGTTTACTATCAATTTTTCAAGATTCAACTTCACATATTGTTTTCCGTAGGAATGCTTGATCGGGCTTTACTGTAGGAATGTATTTGGTTATTGGAAATAAACAAAAAGTGTACAAATAAATGAAAAGATCAACCGGTAATTATGAGAGTCAATTGCAGACATTCAGTTTGCAGCCACCTTTTATTAAATCCGATCGTTATTTTTTTTAATATATATTTTTTTTTTTGGGGGGTTAGCAAAAAGAGATAGTATAGAAAACCCATTAAACGACATCGGATACTTTTTCTTAACAATCTCTGTTGATAAATTATTTTTTAAAGCTGGCCAGACGAGTCCATAGAAAAGTTAAACTAACAATTGTGAACTTTAAACTTGTGTGCCCCAAAAAGTTTCTTGAATTTTAGCCATCCAAAAACTGGTTTTGTCCGTTCAGAAATGTCCCAAAGACAGGGGACGCCTTGCCTTCGCTTCTGATTCTGGTCATTGCTTTGTGTTTTTTGTGGAATAAAGCGATGTTACTGACTGTAATGAAGGTATAGCGAATTAAGTGAAGATTCTGAAGATGATGAGAGAGTATTTGACAACGGCAATACCTCGTTTTCTCCGCCATCTTGTTAATTACTCTACATTCTTGCAAACCATTCTCCGTCATACTTGTCATTTTGGCCGCAGCACAGAGCGGACATTCTGACATTTGGAGTTTAATACAGCTTGCATGGATCCGAGAAAGCAGCCTGTGGTTGCGCTACTTTAAGTTTTATCTTTGCTCACAATTATGCTCTCTATTAAATTGAACTTGATCTCAGCCGCTTAGTTCAGAGATCTCACGAAGTAAAAGAAGGTTAAAAGGCAAAATTGTAGGTTTGCGAAAAGATAATTCGGCCGTTCGTCCATCAGACCAGAACTACCACGGATTCCTGCCTCCAGTCTCCAATGTACAAATCAGTCAAGTTCACGCAGTTGTTTGAAATGATGTTGGCTTTATTTCGATAAACAGTTCGTAAAGCACACTCTACTTTTTACTGCTTACTGTTAGTAACAGTACAATACTGAAACAATTAAATGTGATCAAGATAATTGCAAAAACCTAACTACACGCTAAGCACACTGACTTGTCCTGGCAACTTGTCTTTCAGTTCCAGGATGAAGCCATGATCACGTCCGTGTGGCATATTATATATGCATACACCTACATTGTTCGCAGGCTATATAAAAAGCAGTCCATTTACAGGTTTGAGCGAAAAGAACTAAAAGACAGTGTTTCATAGTGTGAACTTTCACTACTCATTGACAAATGGTTCAAGTAACCAACAATATGCATCACTCGGTAATTCTAATTCTCAATTCAACACTCGTTACATTCTATCAGGAGGGCTGATAAAGCTCCAGGAGTTTCTTATCAACAGCATCGAAGTATTCTTCAGTTGAGCAGTACTGATCTCGCTTTACGCTGAAAAATATAAAAATATAAATGTGTTTTTAAAATGAGAATCGTGGACAGGTGGTTCATTTGACAAGAGAGCATGACCGGGAAAGAGGCGGGCTATTTAACCTGAAGGGTTAATGCGAAAGCGATCATTTATGCTGCTCACACTCTTATATAGGAGCGAAATCTTCAGGTCCTTCAAGCATTTTGTAAAACTGAACGCTTTATCTTGATACAAACTGGCACGTCTATTTTCCCCGCTTCCTTCCCTCAAACACACGCACTAAAAACATGTTTATCACAGGCTGGTAAGTTTTTAGGCAACCAAAACTTGAATTGCTTAAGAAATGAGGATATAAACGTACTTGCTAAGTCCATAAATACAAGCAGCAAGATCTTTAGTCATGTCACCAGAATCCACGGTTGCCACACATGCCTTCTCCAAAGCTTTGCAAAATCTAAAAAAAGTGACATTGCTTAGTTCTTGACTGTACTACAGGTTGCGTCTTGCAATGTATCCAACCAGCCTCCAAAATGGTAGTTCGACATTGTCGATCAAAACAATGTTTTCAGCCAACCAAAGTAAAAACTGGGGGCAACTCGTGAATGCATTGTTTTAAAACAAATATTCATGCGATAAAATATAGTATTTGATTGATCATGTGCCTGTCAAAACACCCTTCGCGCGCGTATTCACGACTTCATTTTCTGAAAAAAGCCACTGCGGAGTTCAGCCTTTGTAATCCAGCTACGATATTTTTGGACACTGTACAGCCCCCGAAATGATCCCGACCCCGAAATGATCCCCAACCCTGAAATGATCCCCAAATCGACCCCGAAATGATCCCCATTTCTCTTCACGTCGACCCCGAAAAATGATCCCCAATTAATTCTTGGAATGGAATGGTATTCCGTCACGGAATTATTGCAAATCTGTTGCAGCGTTTACGTTCTTAAATTGCGTTTAACATTTCGCTACAGTTTATGTGATTTTTTAGCGCTTTTGTCATCTAATCGCCTTTATGTAAACGTTTGCATCTTCAACATTATTTTAAAATTTTAAAAAGTGTTAAAACACCATTTTTAAAATTCAATATCCAAGGCATTGAAAGCGTGACAGTCAAGAAGACTTTTGCAGGGACTGATCAAACAACGTGAAATAGAGTTTAGTTGCGATATTTCGACTGGCCAATACCAGTCTTCATCAGGTTTATTGAGATATCACGAATTACAGATTTATATATGAAGTAAAATAATGACCGGAAATTACATAATATGACGTGGTATGATGTGGCTACTTTAAAAAGACAAGATAACAAAAAATAAAAGATATACTGTATATAGTGACAGTTCATCACGTTTATTGATGCCCAGAGGCTCAATTGTCTTAGCTTTATGGATAAGGTGGGCTTCACGTGCTTTCCTGAAAGAATTACGCCCATTTTTAAGTTTTTCAATAGGAAGCAAAAGCATACGATTGTCGGAATGATTACTGGTTAGAAAGTGTTCTGAGGCTGCAGTATGGATGTAATTGCCAGTAAGGTTGAGTATAAGTGTTCATTAAAACGGTCTTTGAGGCGACGTTTAGTTTCTCCAATATATTGTAGATTACACAGGCGACATTGAATCAAATAGATAACATTAAAAGTTTTCACAAGTGATGCAAGGCATGCTGTTTTAACATCACTATTAGAATTTAACATCTATGCAGTTTTCTCTATAACCCGGGCTATAATGACCTAAGTAATAATTTCAAAAAATGTTATGTTTCTTGATGTTATCAGTTGCAGTTACTAAAAATAACTAGACTTTGTGTATTTTTTTAAAAATAATATTTTCGTTTAATCCAGTTCAAAGGGTAAGCCCAAATTAATGTCACGTGGGCAACTGAAGATCATTAGTGAAGCTTAAGTTATAATGTTGTGCATTTTGCACGATCCATAGTTCTAGGATATCATTCCATTGCTAAAATTAAATAGGGAAGAGAAATGGGGATCATTTCAGGGTTGGGGATCATTTCGGGGGCTGTACAATACTCCTTTTTAGTATTATACTCTGTTTTTTGGCGGCTTTTTCGTTTGTATTCGTAAAGTAAGATATACAGGCTGCGTCAATTTGTAATGTTTTTCTCTTTGCATTTCTTTTACTGGATTTTTGTCTTAGCTTAAACATTTCTATTAGCATTTTGTCTTAGTTTAAACATTTACAGAGGAATTATTTTCATGGGGAAACCAAAGAAACATCAATCGTCTGATGCTTCAGCGGACGAATTGAACTTGGAAACTCTTAAAGATGAAGGAGAATTAGTCTCCATTGCTACACTGAAGCAAATGCTTGATGTTCAGCAGTTCGGAGCATTTTTATTTACCACAATGCAGGACTAATATAAGAAAGTTCTCCATCAGTTTCCAAGGTCCTAAATTTTTTAACTCTCTTAGTTTTGAAATTCGAAATGCAACAAGTACCGCTTCCTTTTGCTGTAAGCTGAAAGCATTCCTCTTATCATAAATAGTAATTTTTATATATATATATGTATATGTATTTTTTTTTCTTCCTTTGCTCTTTTATTTTATTTTCTTTTGTTTTGTTTTGTTTTTTTCTTTTTGTCATTTCGCTTTTTTTAGCCTAGAACTATGATTAGTACGACTATCTAATATACTTATTTTAAGATTTACTGTAGCTCTGCCATTGATTTTCCCGTATGTAATTATGATAATATTTTGTTCTAATTATCTAACTGAGGGAGCCCATTCCTTATAAGCCCGGTGGCTTCTCTTGGGCTTCCTCGCCATGAGAGTTAAGGTAATTAGATTTTATTTGATTTGTTTAATTTTTGGCAAACAAAACAATAAACAATAAACAAAGGCGCCCGAAACCAAGGTTTTCTGCCTTCATCCCCTCGCCCCCTCCCTTATTTTTTGTTGACCTCGATTCATGCGTAACCTGATCTGAGATCAGGCTTTATTTTACTTTCACTCAGTAATTAAAATGCCGATGCGCGGCACGTCAAAAGATACAACGAAAACTACTAAAATTGCGCGGCTGTATCTACTTTGCGAACCAAAAACGAAAAACACCCAAAAAACCTGCATGCTAAGCAGGGAACTAGAACTACCCGAGAAGCAACAGACTTTTGTGCTGCATTTTTTATAATGAAAACAATTGGAGGAACATACAGAAGGTTGTACATGGGTATATTTTAACGCCTTGATAAATTTCCAAGATTTCTGGCTATGAAAGGATGCGATTCACTTTAAGCGGGAAAGATTATCGATAAATATTCGAGATAACGATGTGATTCTTTTGAGTAAACCAATAGGAAGGCGCGGGCCAAATTGAAGGTTATTGAATACGAGCGTACTTTTCTGCGGCGAAATCCTAATTGAAGTGTCCAATGTATACACCTATTTCAATTAAGGTTGCTTCAGACAAGAATTATGCATGATCCATGTTTCATAGCCCGCGGTGCATTATTGTAGCAAGTCTAGTGAACGAGCCTAGAAACCAAGAAAGCAAACGCTGCTGACACTTCTATGCTAGGTCAGCAGAACGTTAAGACAATGTATTTCAAAACACTGAATCCTGGGCTTTTAATTCAAGACAGTGATTTGAGGTTAGGTAATATGCAAATGCTGCAAATTTTCAACGAGTTTGCTTGGCTCGTGCACTTGGGAATTTTGGGTGGAGTTTAAAAGTATCAAATTCAAGGCGTTTGTTGAACAACAAGAAATAGTTTAACATTACGTGTTCAACTAAATTTGAGGCTATTTTTTTAAAACTGAATAATAAAAAAAGAATAGCGTTGATTTGCTTTATTGAAATAACCAGCATTCTGGCCCATGTAAAAACGCAGCTTAATCAGGCGGGCCTATTCATTTAATGTTGTTAAAAGAAGAGGCTTCTAATTTTTACTATGAGATTTTAAAAATGAAATTTTTCGGCTCGTTCATGCTTAAGAATTTTAGCAGCCATTTGACTTGAAAGCTCTCTTGAACGCCTTTTCACAATAGCCCTTATGCATGTTTACGTCACACAAGCAAATTTCACCACCAAGCCTCGTTTTGAAATTAAAAAAAAGCGAAGTTTCACAGAAATGAATTCCCAAGGCAGTAGAGTTGAAAAGAATACCCACGCACAAAAAGTGCAAATGCAAAAAATTTTGTTCACAAACGAGGCTTGTTGGTGAAATTTACTCGTCTGACGTAATCATGCATAGGGGCTATTGGTCTATTATTTCAATGAACGGGAACAAGACTAAACTTCCCGCTACAAAAAGGTTTACCATAGTGCACTGCAGGCTATGAAACAAGGTTCACAGGAGCAACCTTAATTGAAATAGGTGTATACACGACCTAAAGAACCGATAGACCGGACAGCGAGTGTTGACGCTTCTGCAGCGGATGTGACAGTCGGAACGTGAGCGTGACAAACTCGTTCCCAGGGTTCTCTCGCGAGGTGACGTCAGCCGGGAGTTGCCCAAAGTACACTTCGGCTACAACGACGACCTGTCGTTTTCATATCGGGGGACTTCGTAGCGAGCCGCTCCCGGCCTACGAACCTGAGTTAGTGACTCACTTGCATATCTCATCCCACAGCGAAAAGTAATGGTAACAGAACCGAGTGGAGTCCAATTCGTATAGGTAATAGTACGATTTGTAGTGATATTTGGCTTAAATACCGCGATTGATATTTGTTATATTGATTGTTATACATAATTTCACGAGCCGTTAGGCGAGTGAAATTTGATACAATTTTGAAACATCATGAGTGGTATTTATGCCAAATATCATTTACAAATCATGCCATTATTTCTTTATACTACTACCCGCAAAGGGTTTGTAATTTTCACATGTAGGTATTTCAAATTAAGCTGAAATACCACTGCTCTAAGAAAAATCAAATTGCAGAAATTTCTCATGTAGTAGTATAACAGACCTAATCATGCGAGTAGCGGGAGTCCGATTAGTTTAATCACGAGTATGATTACAGACCGAATTGGACGACACGAAGTTCTGTTACCAAATTAATCATACCTTTAACAAAATTTGTGATATGGAAGGCTCTTTTTTAAATCAAAACAGAAGAAATGCCAATTTTTTTTGCGAGCAGTGAAAAAAAGCCATTTAAGCGCGCGCGTGATGGCGCGTACTGTCCTCAGGGCAGTTGATAGCCAATCAGATCTGAGAATTTTGTTATAGTTATGATTAGTCGTGAAATCGGGTATTCACGAGGTAAAAAGCGTTCCCTTTCTTAAGTAGTGGCTGTTAAATCTTAAGTACGATGGACGACATTCTAAAAGAGAAAAAAAAATCTCCCACACACTGGAACTTGAACGATTTGCTGGGTATTGTACTTGCTGAACTAAAACCATATGGATTACTAACGCTGAGACCAATACATACGCTTTAAGTTCGGCATTCTTGTCAAGTCTTGCTCTGTGACGAAGACCTTGAGTCCACGCAAAAATGCTCGCAATAGGATTGGTGCTTGTTTCGTTGCCCTATAAACCAAAAAAAAACAACAACAGCACTTGATAACCTTCACATCACTTTGTAGTAAAACAGTGTACAGAATAGCCAGTGGTTACGGCTCTAAGATTTCAGTCTTCACACTTGTGAATACGGTTATCTATGACTACTGCTCCCCTGTTCCTTTATGCACCTATCAATGTAAAGCCGGCGAAGGAGGGGGGGGAGAGAAGGCAGGGCATGGGGTGGGGATTTGATTGTCTTTGTCGGCCCTGGGGTGGGGCATTTGACTGATCTTGTTCTCCAAGGGGAGGGGATATTTGAATCTTTCCTCGTCCGATGTGGGGATATTCGACTGCTGACTCGGACGAAAGAGTCTGTGACCGAACATATGTCTCTTCACCGGCGAAAAATGTCTGCGCATGCTCTACTTAAAACGACACGTGATCTATTTCGGGCAATGTCATTGGCTCTGAGGCAAAAATGCCGGTTGAGATGAAAAAAGTAATGGCTGTTTTTTTGACAGTGATAGAGTTGTGGTTTTCTTGCCATAGTAAGAGATCAAAAAACATTTTGGTGAAAGTTTTGAGTGGAATGTTTCTCTCTTAGTTTCAGCCGATGAGAAATTTGGTACATCAAGTACAAACTTGTCCAGTTTTCAATTCCAAACCTTTGTCAATTTCATGCTTGCATGATTTATGCATGCACAGCAAAACATTTTGACATCGTTTCATTTTCTTCAACAGAAGACCTATTTACATAACTTAAAAAAGGGTAAGACAATACATGTAACTTAAAAAAATATATACATTTCCTTTCGTTAAGTTCCATCATGAGGTCACATAGTATTACATCTTTCTGATTGTTGACTGTTGGATTTCCTTTTGTACATGTATCAAATTCATCCATGAGCTGGCTCACAGGAGGCATTGACTATGATTGATAAGAGTGCAGACCCTTCAAAGTATTATTGTACACTGTAGCATCCCATCAACACTGTAGCCAGTTTCAAATAATAAGTTGTTTCATATACCATCTGGAATATTAAGATAAGAAGAACTGCTGGCAAATGAAATTAAGCACCACTTTATGGACAGCTCATTATTACAGACAGTTTCCTTTGTCCACAGAGAACCCAAACGCTGTATTAGCTAATAAAATCATTATTTCATAATAATTTACATGTACATGTAGTAACAATGTATTAGCTTAAAAGATAGTTATCTTGAGGTGTAACCGTCGCATCCGACTCGCTTGACAAGCAGGCATTTGATACTGGCAATGTTAACCATCTCTGATTCAAATCCCTTGTAAAACGAATCATAAAGAAACAGGAACACACCACAGGTTATTACATCTTATGTTATTAGTTACTACAGCATAAATGCATCTTAGAATTATTTCATTGGCTAATACAGCATTCGAGTTCACTGTGTCCAGTCTTTGGGCCATAGCAAAAGGGGACTGCTCTACAATGTAAACTGTAGCTGTAATCAAAATACCAAGCTTTTCAGCATAAAACAACCAAATCTAAATCTAATGTCAAATCAGGTGAAAACGTCGGCAAAAGGCGATTTGTAGGTTTTTTGATTAAGGGATAGGTAGCATAAATGATGGTCATGGACCGCTTGCGTGCGTATATCCAACAGTGTTTATTTACTGTGCAATATCAGGGCTGTCAAAAAGTTTTTAAGTAGCAGGCTCATAATAAAATAATAGTAGGCGGCTTTGGAACTCGCACCAAAGGCATTTGTTAGAGTCTCAGTTATGTCCGAGACCTTCCACGACATTGCACCGTTCTAATGTTTCACAGATCTAATTACTGTTTAAATATGCATTCAATGTGATTCAAACCTGGGAAACAGATGCTTTGCAATTTTATTCGATGGTACTTATTTTTTGTTAGATCCTGTGGTAGGAGGAGATGAAAGTAGCCAGTGAAGGATGGCTAACTAGCCAGCGGTTTTGGCTGGCTACCTGCCTTTGTTGACAGCCCTGCACTATTCCCCAGAAACAGCAACTCTAAGAATACTTTCCAAAATGCTTTGTTGAAATATAGTTTTAATACTGACTGTTTTTTTTTGTAGTGTACATATTTAGCTAATACATCAGTACACTAAGAATGATCAAAACGCTCATAGTTAAAATTACTGTACTGTAATGCTTTACCTTCATAGTTTCATCGTTATTATTGTTTGTTTCTATTCCTACAAACTTCTCATCAGGTCTCCATTTTGCATGAATTTAATGTGATATATATTTGAAGGGGTTTTCGTTTCACCATGAAGTATTTTTCACTTCGTTTTTTTGATATGAAGTTCAGTTTCTTCTTAGTTGTTTGCTAAGACAGTGTTGAAGTATCTGACATGTTAACATACTTTACTTTTCATTTCTCTTCAGAAAAGATTGATTGATCCTGAATCAAACAAAGTGCAGCCTGACAAACAAGATTTTTTTGACGAACAAATGTGTACTCAAGGAAAGCTTATGTCCCTGACATTGTCAATAAAATTTATTAATGGAAAGATCTGGGTTTTTTCTCCTTTGTAGCACTTTAGACTATATGCATCACTTTTTTAGCCTTTATGTACTAAAAAAAAAATATATATAATCAGTATTGTTTCTAACTAACACTTAAATCAAAGTTCTCTTCTTTCAAATATAGTATTCCCCTAATTTTAAAAAATTCATTATCTTATTCAGATCAAGTACAGTAACCATTGAAAAGAAAAAAGAAAAAAAACCTTGCTCGGTCACAGACGGCTTTAAAGTTTTGATATTAAAATTGCACCCGTTCACAATGAAAAGAACAAGGCAGACACTACAGCTCATTTAGCTTATGTTCAAGCTTTTTTTTTTTTATAAATTAGAAAGTCTTGCTGGAGAAAACATAAGTTTGCTTTATCTTTTCGGTAAAAAAAAAAATTATAAAATAACTTCCAGGTGTCTGAGCAATTTCAAAGGACCCATAGTGTCTTATTTCTCCGCTGCATTGAGCTGTGAACAAAGGGAGTTCCTTCTAGTGATCCGGCTTTTATCAGAAATATTGTTGTCCTTCGTGATCGTGAAGAGTGATCGCTTAAACAAGTCCAAAGTTGAATCCTGTAAACCGGCCAAAACGCGAGCATCGCAGGGAACGGATCCCATAGGAATAGGTGAAAAAGGATAATAAAAAGTCTAGGCTATTCTAAAAATATCGATATATGCATTTGCAACCCATTTTAAGCTGCAATTAATCTTCTTACAAACGATGGAGGTATTGCCGCCATTTTGAATTTGGCAAAGTCACGTGGTCGCCCGTCGACCAATCAGACATTTTTCGCCGGTGAACATATGTCTCCCGCTTCCAGGCTTCACGCATGCCCCTTACGGTCTGGAAAGATCTTGAAATCATGGAGGCCAGTGGAGGCCAACGAGAACAAACGAAAGGTGAGTGGATTTCGCTGTTTTGTCTTCAAAGTTTGTTTGTTTTAGCGTGTTTTTGATCAATTGAACCTTTTAAGATACTGGGGTATCAAAGTAAACGAAGTAAAGAGAAACGAAGTCGATTTTTGCAAGTAGAGTTGATCAGTGTATGGCTCATTCGCTACAATCACTGTAAGCTTATAAAACTGACTTTCTTTGTACCCTTTACTAGGAACGGTAATATTTAAACTTACAAAATGTGGACTTTCTCGTGAAGGTTTCTGTATTCTACGCAGTGTAACACGGATTGATTGGTTAAAACATACAATTGCAGATCGATGTAACAGGAACATGTATCTTTGGTGATGCAGCAACGTTTATAAATTAAGACTGCAGAGTTTTGTTTGGAGATATTTTTATTGTACCTTTCCTGGGTCCAGCCTTGAGATATTTGACATGTGCAGCCCGGGGTGGGGGAATTTGGTTGCATTTGACTGGAATGATTTGCCCGTGGGCAGGGAATTTGACGGCAAATTTTTGAAAAATGTCAAATCCCCACCCCATGCCCTGCACCCCCCTCCGCCGGCTTAACATTGATAGGTGCATTATACAATATGTGCAAAAGATTAATTCTACCCAGTTTCAGTTCTACCCAATTTCCACGTCATAGCATAGAAGCTTAGTCTTGTTACTGGGCTGCATGGCAAGCCCAGTCATAAAATGGGTTTTCGGTCGTCGGTGTCACAAAGTGGTCATCCGGGGGAGGGAAAACACGAGGGTCTGGTACGTAGAAACGATGTTCTCACAAATGGTTTCATAGGGTTTTCTCTTGCATGGACCCTTGCACGGATACTTTTTGTACCTTGTCTGCGCTCCCCTTGAAAAACCCACAAGGCGTTGCGAACCTGAAGAAGGCTATTTGCGTTGCTCGAAGCTATTTGACCATGGAAGTAACTCTATAATTTTTTTATTGTTCGAGTTTAAGTCAGTTAGATGGTGTTGGCGCTGGGAAACTCAGAGAACTGCTCGCGTTGCATTCAAACCGATACGCCGTTCACGGTAGGTTCACACTAAAAGACTGAAAAGATGACTGTGAGCGTCAGGTTTGGAACGCCGTGGCTGCTTCGTGAACTATCGATCGATGTAGTACATGAGCAATTAAGAAGCACAATTTATGAGCAAAGTATTTCACCAGTTGACGACACTATGGCTGAAGACTTGATTGTAAGCCGTCATAGTCAGTAAAGCGAACAACTCAGTTGCCGATCAATGGAAGATTAATCCTGATGTGAGGCACGTCCATAAGCGAGGGACGTGACAACTTTGCCATGTTAGAAGACTGGCTTTTTCCTTTAAATATTTCCTTCTATTTAACGCAACACACGACACTTTGGAGATCTAAATTTCGGATACTGAGGATAAAGAAGACACGGACAAAAATAGGAACTCTGAGAATTTCGCACACAAGTTTAAAGCTTCTTCGGGACATCCCATCCAGGAGCTTCACAGAGAGCGACTTGAGGAAAATAGGAGCTATTACTGACAAGGTTTGGTGACTGAGTAGAGCATACAAGTGTAGCCCACGTCGAGGTTTCAGGGGGTTTGCTTTTGTTTGTATCTGTATCTTGCTAAGCTTTTGTCATTAAATTTGTACAAGATCTTGTGATCACAATTCTGTGTTTTCGCCCATTCAGCAAGCACGCTATATTGATGTCCGCATTAGCGAGTTTCAGAAACATGCCTTTGAAAATTTTCAGCTCTCGTGATGTTTCTTGATATTTCTTTTACCATTTTATGGAGATGTAAACTGAAGTCACCGCAAAATGGAAACTTAAAAAAGCGTATAATCCATTTATCTCGAAACATAACACACATGACTTATACGGCCTTTATTTTCGTAAAGGTGTTTTGAATACGAACGAACACAGTCAATGTGAGGGGCAAAAACAGCATTAATATAAATGAACCATAGGATTTTAACTAATATAAGGGTCAATTATTTTGCATTGAGATGAATCGCTTGAAAAGAGAGACTTCGCTTGAAGATGTGATCAGAAGTAAACAAAGGCATAATAGTGCGTCACGTTCAGTCTTTTTAATATCCAAGGAGTCACTGTGAATAGTGTTTCCATATTGTCTAGCTGGCACCTCGGAAGAGTTATAAAGCGGCATAGTTTCCATGAAGAAAAGTTAGTCTTGGGTGAGACAAACAGAACTGGAGCAAATTTTTAACTCACATCGGTATCAGGTAAAAAATATGTTATCGATCGTTTCATCTATTTACATTGTTTGAAGTGCGTGCTGGTGAACGCCGCAACATGCGAGCGAGAAATCTTTAAACTTTTTTAGGTCTCAAAATGCAAAGGATTTTATTCCTTTAAGTTAGAGAAAAATACCGTGAGGAAAATCTTAAAACTGAATACTTTTCATCTTGTGGAAAAAATAGTGCGTTTTCATGTAGACTGTGGACCGCAAATTAGGATCGCACTTTTCACAAACATTCGAATTCTGGAGTTCAGAACCCAACCGACGATTGCGTTTTTCGCTGCTGTCAATCATCTTAACGGACCTCTTAGGAAACAAAACTTTACTTCACGGGTTCAAAAGGTCATGGTCGTGATTTGTGGATTTCGATCCGTTTTGTGTGTTTCTCTGTTTCAAGGTTCGTTGCTTGTGATCGTAATTATGATTGACGGCAGCGATAAACACAATTGTGAAGGTGGCTTTTGAACTTTAGAGTTCGCCTGTTTGTGAAAAGCGCAGTAAAGTCTCCGTGCAGTCAGTGAGACCCCTGGATCAGGCGGGATCAATGGGCAGTTAACTGTCTGTTTTAGCATACGTCTGGTTTTCATACAATACAATATTTCTGTCTAGTGTAAATCAGCTCAGTCTGTCGCATTTTATGCTCGTAGAAGGACAACAATTTTTGGAATTTCCGGTTACGTCAAATTAGTCACGTTATACTGTCACGCTATATTTTGGGGCACAGAGAGATTGGGGGAGGGGTGCGTGGAAATAATGCAAATTGTTTCCTGTTTAGAATTAATGGCTAACTTGTTTATTTTTATTCATAATGGTGGAATTTAAAAGTTATTATACAGCCCCCACTTAAAAATGGTACTCTTTTTTTTTGGTTACGAAAGTCTTTCAAAAGGGTACAATGTTCTGAATGAGTTTATGTTTCAGTCTCACATGAGATTCTGTTGCATGCAATGGTTGCCGACAAGGTTTTATGGTAGCCTGAGTGTGTATAGCCGCCCCCTCCCCTCAGAAAAAAAAGCCCATTTGCAGCCCAGTTAAAAATCGCCTTTCGGCGATTCTTGTTTTATCTAAATCGTATTTGAAATAATCTGGCAACGTATTTGAAACGTTCCATTTCTATATATTTCGCATGGCTCATATCTGTTATATCTTTTTATTTAATGAACATAATGAGACTAACCCTCAGTTTCAATTTCAAGATGCTTTCATAACTTTCTTTTCTTAATCATTTTGAATAAAACACCATTACAGTCGAACCCCTTGTAACCGACCACCGTCCATAAGCAGCCACTTCTTCAAAAAGTCAAGTCAAGTAACTTTATTTGAGTCTTATTTAAACTCGGTAAAAACACCAGGCATATAACTAATATAAAATTCTCGGCTAATCTTACAATATATATATATATATATATATATATATATATATATATATATATATATATATATATATATATATATATATATATATATACGTATGGTTGACGGAAGAAAACAAGTAACTACATAAGTATCCCTACAAGCCTGTTTCGTGGTTGCCCACTCATCAGGGGATTTTAATGAGAATAACTTTACCATTACTTATATACTAGACTGATTTACATAATTTATTCAGTGCGAGGTTAGTATATAAGTAATGGTAAAGTTATTCTCATTAAAATCCCCTGATGAGTGGGCAACCACGAACCAGGCTTGTAGGGATACTTATGTAGTTACTTGTTTTCTTCCGTCAACCATACGTATACTCGCTCTACTTTATGTATTGAGCACTGTTTTACGGATTTCAAGTTCAAACCTCTTATATATATATATATATATATATATATATATATATATATATATATATATATATATATACATATATAAAAATATATATAACCTATGATCTAACCTACATAATAATATGATAGTAAATACGATATAAAACAGATGTACATATAATATTAAATAATGAATAAATAATAAATAGTATATAAATTAAGTTAGCCTGCTTCCCATGGATGCCGAGTATATATTATTTGAAAAATTCCTTGCAGCCAAATTTAAAACTGTGTATGGATCCTGCTTACCGAGGAGTCGAAGGCAAACCGTTCCATAAGACCACCCCGCTATAACGAAAACTATTCTTAAGATAATTGGTGCGGGGAGAGGGACATCAAATTAATTACAGGAATCTCTTGAGAAATAATTCGAAACACTGTTTACAAATCTATCCTGTAAATATTCAGGCGCTAAACCGTGAGTAAATTTGTAAACCATGTTTACTGTGTGGACTTCACGACGACAAGCAAGTTGAGTCCAATTTAACTACTGAAAAAGCGGCTGGACTTCAGCGTTGTAGTCAGAATAAGTCAGAATCCTGGCAGCGCGATTTTGGAGCTTCTGAAGCTTGGTGGCATTAGTTGCCCTGCAATCACTCTATGTCACAATAATCAAAGCGTGGCTGGATTATCGAATTGTAAGCGCAAATAAAGGTTTCCAGAGAAACGAAAGGACGACAGCTCTTTACCCGAAGCTACTTTTTTAGAGATTCTAGTAATGTGTGCATTCCAGTAAGGGAATAAAACGCCAAAACGTTCCATTCAAAGCCTTACAGCCTGAGTTGGAACCTCTCGTAAAGGACCACCTACCGCCAGCGACTGCGACCACTTTTGAGCAGGCGGTTTTATAATTTTCCATTGTTTTCAACTTCTTGTAGGCGACAACTTGACGCATGGTGTGATCTCTTTGCTCGTTGTATGTACTGCGCCACTTAGAGTATGCGAAGAACTTTCAGTGACAACATGGAACCACACATACCGTAAGTTTTTTTCCACCAAGTAGATGTGTCAGGAACTTTTCTCGTAAGAGACCACTGTGGTTTGATTCTCGTAAGCGACCACTAAATCGTCGCATTTCGGGTGATCGATTACGGTAGGTTCCACTGTAGTTATTATTACTGTTATTATTATTATTAAAAACTGAATCATTGAATAACGCAATTCTAGAGCTCTCATTGGCTTAGCCATCATGGTATATGAGCCATTGTACCGTGCTCTCCAAATATGGTAACTGTACGCGTCTGCTCAAAATTTAAAAAAAAGCTGAAAATCGGTTGTTTCTCCAAATAAAGTCGTGACGAATTCTCGATATTTTGTGGGCGTATTTAATAAAATAATTATTCCGCTCTCGCTTGTTGGATATGAGATGATTATAGCCAACTCAGCGCTACGCGCTTCGTTGGCTGCCTACCATCTCGTATCCAAAGCGCGGAATAATCGTTAATAACTATATTATGCTAATTCAGTTAGGTTTCGTGATCTTCTTGAGTCTGTCGGTCTTGGCCGTGTTTTATGCAACGCACGTCACAATCACACGGTTCTCTGATTATATCATCAATGGTCAATCTCGTGTTGGCCGTTTTATATCAGATCATGCCTCCATTATTTGTAACATTTCTGCTTCCAGACCGCCTGTACGATGTCGGAAATTTGCTAACAGAAAGTTGAAATCTTTGGACACTTATGCTCTCAAACAGGACTTGGCCGCTTTTGACTGTGTGCGACTGCCAGACATCGAAACCCGCCAAATAGTCAGTCGGCTGAGGACATTGATGAGCTTGTTCAGAGCTACAACTTAACTCTTAAGGATCTGACGGATTGTCATGCTCCTTTAAAGATTAAAATACTTAGGGCTAAACCTTGCGCTCCTTGGTACAATGCTGAAATTGACGCTGCCAAAAGATTTCGCAGAAAGGCTGAAAGGCAAATTGGTGTCTGACTTCAAATTGATTCAAGAACATAGAAATCGAGTGACATACCTAATGAATGTTGCAAGGAAGCGCACCCACCGACTTATCTCCGACCATTGTGACAATCAAGAAAAACTCTTCCGTGCCGGGAATAAGTTACCGAGTCCAAAAAATGAACTTTGCTTCCCAAATTGCTCTGACAATACCGTTCTTTCTAATGACATCGGTGCATTTTCGTGCCGAAGATCTCTAAAATTCGTGATGCAGTGGCTTGGGATGCTACTGGCCTTGATTTTGAAAAACGTGAAATGGTACCTGAGGATCAACGACTACTGGCAGACGGTGGTGTGGCTAAAACGTACTGTGCCCTGGATCCCATGCTTACGCCTTTGGTTGTTGATTGTTAGAGGTATTGCTACCAACGATTACCCATCTCATAAATTCCTCCCTGACTACAGGCTACTTCCCCAGTGTCTGGAAGAAAGCACAGATCACGCCGCTCTTACAGAAAAGCGGGGCTTGAGCCTTTGTTCAGCGACATGCGCCCGGTTAGCAACCTTCACTTCGTTTCTAAGTTGACTGAACGTGCTGTTTATGGTCAAACCTTTGATTATTTGACTACCCACGAACTGCTCCGTGAGTTACAATCTGCCTACAGGAAGCGTCATGGCACAGAAACGACACTTTCAAAAGTGCAAAATGATATTCTTCTGAGAATGGGTCGTCAGCAGGTGACTCTTCTTATTTTTTTCGACTTGAGGGCCGCGTTCGACACAGTAGATCATCACGTTCTTGTCAATCGTCTTGAAACATCATCTGGCATCAAAGGGAGGGCACTGGCTTGGTTCCACTCTTACCTGTCAAACAGGTCACAGCGTGTTGCATTCGGTGATGGGATCTCTGATACCTTTCATCCAACATGTGGGGTACCACAGGGTTCACGCCTAGGACCTCTCCTCTTCACCCTCCAGGCTAACAAGTTGTTCCAGGTCATCAAGGAGCTTTTACCTACTGCGCATGCGTATACTGATGATACACAGCTTTATTTATCTTTCAAGCCTGAGGGTAATGCCAATCAGGAGTATTTAGGTGCTATGGAGTCATGCATAAAGGCTGTACGGGCTAGGATAAGTTGAAACTAAACGATAGCAAAACAGTGTTCCTGATCATAGGCACGAGGTAACAGCTGAACAAAGTTTGCATTGAAAAGTTATCTGTAGGAGATTCTTCTATTACACCAGTTTCAGCGGCTAGAAATTTGGAAACTTTGTTTGATTAGAACCTCAGTTTCGAAACACATCGTTTTTGCCACATCACTCCAGTTTTGTTCTCATTGCACTGGCTGCCGGTGAAGGAGCGAATTCGCTATAAAATAATTATACTTACATTTAAAGCTATTTATGGCCTAACGCCTACTTATCTTTGTAGTCTTGTAAGCATTCAACGTCCCAGTATATATTCTCTTAGACGAAATGACGATCTGTATCTTTCGCCATTCAATGCTAAAACATCGAAAACAATGGTGTGACAGGTCGTTTGCATTGATGACACCATCTATCTTCAAAGCCCTTCCTCGTCACATAAGACATGAAAAGAATTTTCCCAATTTTAAATCCTTAGTAAAGACTTTTTGTTTAAATTAGCCTATGAATTTTAGATAGTTTTAATGTTTTATTTTTAAAATAGTTTTCAGATAGGTTTAGTATTTCTAGATTATTTTAAATTAATGTTTCCTTTATCATGAGGTACAATTTGAAGTTCATTTACAAGAAAGGGACTGAACTGCATGTGGCAGACACATTGTCACATGCCTACACAAATGAGAAGCCTGGCACAGAGAGTGATTAGCAGTTTGACATATTGCCGTTCACCGCAATCTCAGCAGCACGTATGGCTGAACTCCAAAGGCACACTGTCACTGATCCTTTTATGCAAAAAGTGGCACATTTCATTACTCATGGGTGGCTAGAAAGCCCAAGAGTGTACCCCCAGAAGTAAGTCTAAAAGGCTTGAGGGTCTTGGTTCCACATGTCCCTACGCAAAGAGTATGTCCAGCAACTGCACAAGGGACACCCTGGAGCTGACACTACAAAGAAAAGAGCGCGGGAAATTATGTATTGGCCCTCCATGGCGTCTGACATTGACTCTGCGATAGACCTCTGTCAGCCATGCAACAGTACCAAACCGCACCAGCAGAGGGAACCATTTGTTATTCACCTGGTCCCAGATCTCCCGTGGCCATTTATGACTGCAGACATATTTGATTGGAATGGACTGCAATACCTGTACTTGCTGACTCTTACTCTGGTTGGTTCGAGATAAATACTTTTCGTGACTGACTGACTGACTGACTTTGATTGAGAAGATGAAGCATCACTTTGCTGTCCATAGTATTCCTTGTAAAGCGCTAACTGACAATGGTCCACAATTCGCAAGCAGAGAATTTCAATGACAATGAATGGAGCGTTCAGCATGTCACTAGCAGTCCGCATTATCCCCAGTCCAATGGCCTGGCCGAGAATGCTGTCAAGCAAGCCACGAACCTGCTTTGCAAATGTAAGGACAGTTCTGATCCCTTACTTGGCCTCCTTAATCTCCGCAATGTTCCTACAGATCAAACACTAGGTTCTCTTGCCCAGCAACTCATGTCCAGCCAAGATCCTACATCGTGCAGACTGAGGGAAAGGAGTACCGCAGAAACTGGAGACATCTTTTAGCTGTTCCGGAACCTGTTCCAACTCGGTCGCCTGCTACTGCCCCTGCTCCCCCCTTAGCTGCAGTTCCTAAGCAGCCTCGTACTGTGTCAAATGAGGATATACTCCCTGAGTCTACAAGTCCTGTAAGATGTAAACTGCGGAAATACAAATTTAATGAAGATACACGATCGTCGCAGTGGTAACTGCAATTTAAGAAATTGCAAATTAACTCGAAAAATATTTCGAGACTTCAAAGGGATTCGAACCCATGGCCTCTGCGCTAAAGCAGAGGCCGCAGTTCACATCATCTTCATTGCTTCATTTCAGTAATTGCAATTACAACTGCCACAATCAAATCTTCATTTAAAAAAGGAAAGATTTATTAGACTGGACATGTTACCACTAGTAGCGGAGCTCTTGCGCGCGAAAAACGGAGAAAACAAGCTTTATGTACCGACTGCATACTTCCGTCAAATCCTTTTTTCTTTGGATACAGATTGAATCGTTTGCTGGCTGTTCCGAGGGCACCAATGACGATTCGTACGAGCACAACTGATTTACAGTTCCATACACTATTCACCTCTCTTTTCAAATCTTGATATGGTTTTTCCAGTTTCTTGTTTTCGATTTTTTCTTGTCTTGTTTTTATTATTATTACTGTCTATTCGGCTCTGAGCTCTGCCTGTTGTCATGCCGATACACATCCCAAGGGAGCTAGTCAACAAACTTTATTAATAAACAGATAACATTACAGAAGCATTGCCCACTGCTATTAAGGCTATTTCAGGCGGGACAATGCGAGCGAATTATGAAATTAAGACTAAGGCTAGCTAAGAAAAGTTTACAGTTTACGAATAAATGAAATAAAAATTGTAATATGGATGAGGACCAGATAACACGATATAGACGAAAAAATTAAACAAAGTAATAAATAATGTCAAAGTAGAAACTAATGAGTAAGAATGTTGAAGTTTGACAATAAAGATATAGGTTTATAATTATTTGGGTCCGTCTCATCATCGGATTTAAAAACAGGCATAATTCTGGAAAAAATGACCAGGGGTCCATTGGGACACTCTCCTGGTACTTACAATCTTAGCACCCTGCTTAGAATCCTGGCTTTTCCTAGTAGCGTAGTTTTCTGTAGCAGTCCAATCTTAACCCTAACCCTCAATTTTTCGATCCATTTTTTCATGTTTCTTAGTAACAATTTCAAGGGCCCCTACAACAACAGGTACCAGGTCCACGTTTTTTACACCCCACATTCTTTCTCTCGTTAAATCCTGATATTATTCAACTTTTTCAAACTCCTTGTCGTGTATTCTACGGCTTCTCGGTAAAACAATATCCACTTGTTCTCCCTCTTGCTCACTATCGTAGTGTCAGGCCTTCTTGCCTCAATATCGTTATCACACTGGATGTTCATATCCCAAAGCAGCTTCATTTCGTAATTCCTCACAACCCCTTATGGCACCACGGCACATGTTCATACCATTTTTCCTTCCGTTCCAGCTGGTATAACGCAGATATATTCCAATGTAGACTGCATAATATTTGCCACATTATCACGCCGTTAATTTATATTCCTTCTGGGCCAACTTTTTACACTTACTTACAAGCTGACACACACTCTCTCTCTTTAAACAACGGTGACTCTGCAGTCAATGTGATGTTTTACATAATTACATAGTCCTAAGAGTCTGTTCCTGGGCGGCAAAGATAAGGACATTTCGTTTGAACCTTTAAATCAGACGTTTTAAGCCAACTTCAGGTCTGTTCTGTATCTGGCGTTTCCGGCATATTTATTTTTATTTGGTCCTAATACGTTTGTAAGTTCAGTTAAACATTTAAACAACAGTTCCCTTGAAAGTTGAGCGAGCACGAGATTAAGGCTTTCTGCATTCTTTGCAACACATCCAACGAGCTTTTTCACAGTCATTTCAAGTTCCTTTGACCACCCTCCTAGCAAATCAATGAAAATATTACACTGGTTGATGTTGTACCTTAGGTACCGTTTCCTCAACTCCCATCGCAGAGGACTGTACTTGACTGTCTTCTCCTCATCCTTCTTTCCACGATTCTCCACCCACGGACAACTCATTTTCACTGCCCTGACTTTCTTTCCCTTATGATCCACGAACTGTGGATTCACTCTGTTAGCCTTAACACACGTATTGTCAGCGTAAACCGGTACATCCCAATAGGCTTGCACATCAGGTTTCTCGTACATTTACATTGGTTTAGGTGTTACTGGCGAGTACCATGGGGGAACGGAGTCCACCGATTTAAGGTTTCTGCACATTTCGTTGTGTCAGTTCAAGTGTTTTGAATGAGCTAGGGCGGAACACCCCAAGAAAATATGTGGGAGGGTCTCTGCAGCTCTACCGCACATCCTACAAGTTACATCCCCCTGGCTGGTTCCTGTCTTATATGAAGTATACACTCCAGCTGGTGTTGGCTGCTTGTAGAGTTCCATTACACCAGCAATGGTGTGGGTAGGTGTATTAATATTATTATTATTATTACTGACATTGACGTTTTCTTCTTATGAATATTTTACTGAAGTTTCATAAGATTTTAATAAAGTATATTTTTACTAGAAAAAAATTTTTACCATTGTTATTTTTATTACCATTGCTAATATTATTATCTTTATTATTATCATTATTACCTAAGAATTGAAGACCTAAGCCTGCGTTGCTTCATAAAACGTTGCAAAGATTTTAACAAAAATAAGGTAAGGGGATTCGATCCTGATCACCAACTTCTTACTTACTAGGCATAGAATCATTGTGTAGTCTTTTGTCACAATAAATAGTACCATCTAATGGGCCATTTGCATGATGACATCATTTTACTACTACGACCAGAATCCTTCAGGGTTTCGCTCTTTTTGAAGATTAGGGCTTTTGTTGTTTTAAACCTCGCTGGGATTATCAAATTTAAATATAACGGGAAAAATGAAAGGGATTCTGGTCATAATAGCAAAAATTAATGATGCCATCGTGCAAAGGGTCTATTGGGTGAACTGCTTCGTATAGTTCTTCTGTTCCCAACTAGTCCTTCCCACTGCTATCTGTTACTTGTTCGCAGTGAAAATGGAGTAAATTAAAATCAAAATTAAATTAGAATTAACAATTACAAAAAATTATTATTATTATTATTATTATTATGGTAACACAAACCTATCTCGTCACTGACTGACCTTTTGATGTTCTCTGTAGTGTCTGGTGACAGTGCCATGAGCAGCCTCAGCCTCAATTGTCTTCCCATCTCCACATACAAGTACACTTGTCATAAGACCGAGTGAACCAAATCCTACAGTTGATATAACAACAAATGCTACCATATATAATTACCTCTTTTCAAATTTCAGTAACAGAGCATCATTAGGGGCAAGTACATTACTGTGGTCTCTACCCAGACGACGATCGAATAGTATCCGACGATGCATTTTGCCAGAAGCATCAAGCAATATCGTAGTCATTGCAGATTCCATCGTGAAATAAGGTCTTTTTCTCGTCGGCTTTTTTCTCTTTCGATTTCCAGTAAACGTACGAAAATTGCATTATTTCGTTATTTGACATGATTTCTCCGATTTGTAATGGCTTACCACCGTTTTCGTTGATACGCGACTTTCGAAAACAAAACACCCGCGGAAACGTCAATCATGCATGTTATCGACAGATCGGATCGAAATCCACCAATCACAGCCACTAGTGTGACCTTCTGACCTCGATAACACGCATGATTGACGGAAATTTTGGAAACGTTTCCGCCGGTGTTTTGTTTTCGAAAGTCGCGTATCAACGAAAACGGTGGTAAGAGCGAAGTTTCCACATAGAAACATTTATTTTCATGGTTTGAATTAGTCTTCCCATCACAGAGTGTTCAGTGACCCACAACAAGGTCATGAATATTCAAGATTTTTCGGAATATATGTTGAAATCTTCCAAATGTGGACCTCACGCCAGCAAAATGAAGTCCTGAATATTGTACAGGCTAAGAAGTACCCAGAAGTACCCACATTTTGAAGACTTTTTTATCGACCAAAGATGGCTGAAATTTCGAATCTTTTATCACATTTCAACGTCATGTGTGATAATATATGGGTAAAGTCAGCTGAAGGCTACAATCTGTTGGGCGCTTTCGAGAGCGCTTTATGCAGAAGCAATCACTTTAGTATTTTCAAAGTGGATATTTTTAAAAGGAAAGTGACTATAATTATTTTAATTCGAAGAAGGAGCGGTGACTATAAATGGCGCGTTTCAGTGTGACAGGAACCAAAAGAAAGGTGCCACGCAGCATGCAAGCATGCACAGCCTGCTCAGAATTTGAAAAAGAAACATCAGAAACTTTATTTATTCACAAGAACAGATCAGTATTCTGGCCAGGAAATTTCCTTGAAGATTGCTTGGGTCAGTACCGGGTAGATTGTGCTTCAGAGGATTGTTTGTCGCATCGACAGGTTAAATTTTATTTGTAACTGCCGTAAACTGGTTCTCCTCAGGCCTGCGTTCTCCTAGTCTGCTACACAGCCGTTTTTAGGGTCGTCACGCAATGCTCGACCCTAAAAACGGCTGTGTAGCAGACTAGGGTTCTCCTAGCGAAGCTTATTAGTTGCGAGTCTTATACTTTGTGTTTACAGTGCGACCAAGCGCACAAGTAGTTCTCGACAGATCAGTGAAACACGTGTAAAACCTTTCTTAGTCAAAGTAACGCTGAAATTCTCCTTTAAAGCACAATGAATATAAGCCAACTCGATAATTTCAAAAGCAGAAGCTGCTGAACCGAAACATGTTTGGAAACCATCCACACCGAGCACTGAGATGTTCATTTCGCGCGTGCGGAAGATTACTGATCATGATATGTCACGTACGCAGTGATAATATAACATGAAACGAGGTGCATCATGGGATACTATTCGATCGTCGTCTGGTCTCTACCCATAGAAAGCATTGCAAGAAATCATTGATAAATTTAAGAAATATACCATGATGGGTACGCCAATCAGAGCTCTAGAATTGCATTATCCAATGATTCACTTTTTAATAATAATTCTTATCAGTTACGGTTTTGTTATAATAATGCACAAGTTAAAACTACTGAAAATTAACATTTCAGGTTGATCACGATGCCCTTGTCAAGAACAGAAGTAAGAAAGAAAGTTAAGAAAGAATTTTTTTTTTGTGGAAGTCTAGGATGGTTCACTGAGTTAATTGATTGATCAATATTATGTTTTTTAAGAGACCAATATTAGTAGATACTAGGCAAGGCTGTAAGAAGAGTCAAGAGGATACCAAGAGTTGTGCATGTAAAGCAATTATTGAATTCGGCTATCGCAGGATATGAAGAATTCTGCAGATCTCGGAGGGTGTTATCCACCTCCGTCTTCGGTGGATAACACCCTCCTCGATCTGCAGAATTCTTCATATCCTACTCAGCCTCATTCAATAATTTCTAAATATTAATAGCAATACCATAAACATCTCATGCAAACCTGTTCCTTGTGCAGTGTACAATAAAAACCCACGACTGTGGCCACCACGATTAGCCGCGCGTTTAATAACTTTAATCCACTTATTTTTTCACCGAAATCTCATGATGTTTTGTTTTCTTCACAGGCGCGCTAACGCAATTTCTAAATTTGACTAGAAAGTTCTTTCTAACGCAAGCTAGGGCACACGCAAAAGCACTACGCAATTTTGGAGTTAAAAGGTTAAGTTTTTTGTGTTTGCAGTTAGTTGACGCAAGTTTCTGTCAATTCCGATTTCAACAAGCCAAGAAGCAAGTTTTCCTTGTTCAAGTGATTTTTAAGGACATCACCAAGGTAAATATTTACGCTACATTTCTTTATTTAAGTAAGCGCTTTGTAATTTTACCCTTTAAGACCGATTTTTTGCTGATTGCATTGTAAGATCAAGATTTTAGATTTTACACACGACATCCTTTACCGTTACTGGTAACTTAATATTTTTAAGTTTTTTCCCACGTTTACGAACTAGTTTTGGAGTTGCCCTTTACGTAAAAACCTCACACTGTTACAGTTACTTCTGTACCTGTTTAAGTGTAAACCTTTTTCTATTTTTAACGTAACAATGAATTTCAGACGACAATAGTGTATTTTTCCGAATGCCCTTCCATACAAAAAAAGCCTCACCTTCCGTGTTTTCTGTAACAAAGATTCTAATTTCTTTATCGGTGGTCTGCTAGGTGCACGATGGCGTCGAGAAAAATGACTAACCTTATTTAAACCAACGGAATTGTAAGTTCCCTTATAAATAAATTTCCCACGACGAGATCTCAATTCAACTTCTTTTATTTCCTCCACAACACAATTTTCCTTCTGTACAACTAGCTCATTACCTTCTCTTGTCGTCACCTCGCTACCATCTAAACACTCTAACACAAAACTTGCCGATAATGCAAAATCCCGACGCACAGCATCGCACATGTACCGATGAAACACGAGTAACAAGAACAACAATAACACATGTAGAGTCACCTCTACGACAAACGGTGAACGTAAATTTGTATACCGCGTAACCAAATTTCCCCTCTTTTTGTCGCTTACCGTTCATTACTTCTACATAAAACTTAGCACATTCACGCAGGTTTTATAAATAAGAATTGTTTTGAGTGGTTGTTATCGGCTCATTTCCTATTCCATTTTTGCTTATTCGAACACTCAGATATCTTAGAAGACAGACGTTGGGTGAATCTGACGTTTACCGTCAGTTTTAAACGTGACTCCAAATCCATCTGATTTTGAGAACCGACACGTGTTAAAAACTTACTGCCAATACTGTCCATACTTTGATCGTTCCATTATGCTCAAAGAATATATACCCCCTTATATTCACAGTCTAGGCGATTACGATCTAGCGTAAATGAAAGCTTAACAAATGTGCGGTAGCTTACAGCACATTAGTACTTCCAATCCTAGCCTTCTGATGATCTAGTCGATTAACGCGATTTGCATAGCTTAAATAGAAGAATTAAAGGGTACGTTGAAAAGAAATACAGTTTATGATTTAGAGCGATCAATGGAAGTAAAATTAGAAAATTTACCTGGGATAACATCGTCAACAAAGCCGCACTCCGCCAGATGGACACCTTGATCCGCCATATTGATCGTCCAGCAAAGCATGATGGTCTACTCTGTCGGTTTTGGTTTTTGGTTTTTTGGTTTTCGTTTTTTTTAATGTTTATAATTAAATTTTGGTTTTGGTTTTCATTACATAACTTAAAAGCCAAAACAAAAACTGAAATGTAAAACGAAATAAATCGATCAAAATAAAAAAAAAGTTAGAAACAGAAACAGAAAAGTAAAATAATAAAAACCGAAATCTCAACCGAAAAGCAAAATGGAGAAGTGAAAATCAAAAAGGTTAAAAACGAAATCGGAAAAGTAAAACATAAAAACCGAAACCTCAACCGAAAAGCTAAATGGCGAAGTGAAAATCAAAACGTTAAAAACGAAAAAGTAAAAAACAAAAACCGAAATCTCTACCGAAAAGCTAATTGGCGAGGTGAAAATCAAAAAGTGAAAAACAAAAATGGAAAAGTGAAAAATAAAAACGAAATCACTATTTGGCCCCCTTGCGCTTCCGTAAAGTCAGGATCAAGGTCAAAAGTCCGACTAAAAATAGATCCTCAAGTCAAGGACTGACGTTCAGCGCAGCGACAAAACCATAAACCAAGTATAGTAGAAGTTAAGAAGCTTTGTTGCAAGAAAGTTATAATTTACATGGACACACATAAGTAAGACGATTCTGCACGTAGTAGTTGCAGAAATAAGTTAAAGTAATTGATTACATTTTTAAGTCGAGGTGAAGTACTGTCACACCCCGGGTGTCATGCACAAATAGATTAAAGTAGTCCAGGCGCTACCCTGGGTACCAGAGGTTTTTCTCGCGTGCGGCGTCGCGTGCGGCGGGAATTTTCGGTGTTGGCCGAAGGCCGACACATCTTCGGCTGTAGGCCGAAGCCACGAGCGGCGATCAAATTTGCTTAGTCAAAACGTTTTCCTCCAGAACATAGTCTACCCATCAGAAAAAATAAATTCATTGGAACAAGCAGCATTTTGGCGTAAGGTAAAAATTGTGTGTTGCCTACAGACCCCCGGTCTACACTAAAAATAAATGTTTTGTTTTTAAAATTCCTAATCCATCAATACAAATTATTTAAAAAAATATTTTGTAATCATTTGAAATAGGAAATTAGTAAAGCTTAAATTATGTTGTTGCAAAAGTTGAATGTGATAAAAACTTAATTGCGTTGAATAAAATTAAACACCCCACTTGTTTGCTCATAGCTTAACTTGTCTACACCGTCAAACCCTTCTCGTACATCGCTTATGCTTTCCTTCAATGCTATTTCAAAACTTTCCGAAGCCGCCATCACAACACTTCTCGCAGGTACACTTACGTCATGTCAACAACACAGTTGGAAATATTCTTTTACGTGCTGGTCGATTCTTTTCAGCCAATTGTAGCGTCTGTTGATTTAACCGTGCTAACGATTGGATCGGCGCCATCAAAGCAATAGCGCTCCAGAGGCTTTTCGCGCGGGTCACTATAAAGACTCGACAGAAACCGGAAACCGCGCAAGACAAGTCTCTGGCACCCAGAGTATACAGGCGCTGCCTGAAGTATTAGAGTTTGCAGTTAGAAGGAATTGCTCTAACGTATTAAGATTTGCTTAAATCAAATGTCTAGCTCAAGTGAGGTAACAGAATTTAATGCTGTAGACAACTTATCGTTACCTGCAGTAGGCGTAGTTTAAGTAAACAGTAATCTAGTAGAAGTAGATAATAATAATGCAAATAGCATAGTCACAGATTCCATCCAAGAGCCAGGGGCACCCAACGTCAATTTTCGGAAAATATCTATTCGGAAGACGATTTGATATCTAGAATTTTCGGAACATTTGTCGTAAAATTTCTCGCTTGCCCGTCTCCCCTAGGATTTTCGAAAATCTAAAAAATGGTATAATGGCCAATTTTTAGCGGATTTTTTTCCCTAAAAAGGTCACCTAGAATTTTCGGGAGCCTTTTTTCGGGCTTGTCGAAAAGGTAAGCTTTGATCCCTATAATTTTCAGATCACTAGACTTTCAGCTAGGAAATCCGAACAGGTGAAAAAAGTTTAGGGGATAAAAGTATGCCTATATCTACCGTTTAAATACTAAAATACTTAACAATGCTATGTTGAAGTGGTTGTGAACTATATTCTCGTTGGGTACCCTTGAAGACCAACAAACGCGAATCCCCAGGGTCCAAACGCTTATAGAGAGAGGCCAGGCCTATCAAGAGGTTCGTCAAAGAGAGCGAGATAAAGAAGATCAGCTAATAAAGAGATTCTACGAAGCCTTCGACGCATGGAAAGCGCAAGCCTCAGACATTGAGCGGTTTATTGCTTATCAGCTCCCACTTTCACAAACTGACAAAGACGAAAATATTCTCCGCTTGAAGAATCTCCGCGTCAGGGCTCTGATGATATAAGAGAAGTTACGGAACGTTCGGCCTCCAGAACAATAAATTCGCCAAAAGAGAGATGCATGCGATACATTAACCAAGACTCTGGAATATTAACTGAAACAATCTGAAGATGGTAGTCACGCAACGATAGAAGGCCCGTCCGAAGTAGATCCATTATCTCAGACCACTCAAGGGTCGGTAAGTCTTCAAGAGTGTCTTCCGGCACTAATCGACCTAAGGAAAGCCGATGCTGTTGCACAGCTAGCCGCAAAGGAAGCCGAACTTAACGCCCTCTAAGAAGAAGCAAAACGTAAGGAAGAAATCGCAAAAATGGAGGCGCAACTAAGGGCCGAAACGACAATGATCGAATCAGAACTGGCACGAGGAAAACTGGAGTTAGAACAGATGGAAGTGAAGAAACAATTGGATATGGCAAGGGCGAGGTTAAAAGCATACCAAGTAGTCGAAGATATCGAAAGTGAGCAGGACCCCGTCGAAGATGATCTCTCTTCAGACACCCCCAGCATACCTTTCTCCGCTGCAGGAAAACAGTCATTAAGGATCGGTCGTAACCGCATCAAAAGAAAAACAGCCAACACAGAAGCTTCAAGACGTGCACAAGTCTCCTAATGTCCTTCAAGAGTCATCAAGTGCTGATAAAACCGTCGAGATCGTCATTACAACAGCGGATTCATTCAGTTTAAGTCGCCTCCCAGCACCTGAAACAACCATTTCAGCGGTGAACACATCCATTATCCGGATTGGAAGTCGTCATTCTGTGCTCTCACACACCGAAAAAACATACCTCTATGCAACAAGATGTATTATTTGAAACGATATGTTAGCGGATCTGCCAAGCAAGCTATAGGCGGACTTTTCCTGCAAAATTCATCGGAAGGGGAAGGGGGAATTTGGGCGCGCGAGGGAGAAAGGAAAGGAACGCCTGCAAGGACGCCATTGTTTTCTCTATTTATCACGCTCAGATTTTGAGCGTGAAAATAGTGATTGGTCAGAATTAATTCAATGTCAATCTTCGACTTAATACCTTTTTCCGATTAGTTGAAATCAACATCACGCCATTTGAGTAACTAAACATATGTCGTTTAATAGTGAAGCGCGATGAGATTTCTCTACGGGAATTCATCGTTAGAAGGCATCAATTTCAGCTTAAAAGCAGTTAAAGAACCGTATGAAGGAAAAGGCCTGTCAGCAGATGAGTTTTACTGACTGGTTCTGAAAAGTATCATCTCCCAACGGCTTGTCGGTTTTAATCGCCAGAAGAAAGAAAGGAAAAATCATGCTGCCTGTGTGTTTGTTATCTGCTGTTTCACCCGTTTGACCCGCGTTATCAACGGCAAGATAATTGAAGACGAAGCGATCTGACTTTAAGTGATTTTTGGTTGAGGACTTCTTCTTGCCGGTTATAAAACCGCCAGGAACTTACGTTAATAATAAATTGTTGCCTTCTTGTAGATCTTCGAAGTTCAGTTCTTCTTTCCCCGCCACCAGCGTTCTTTTGTGTGCTCCGCTGGATCCAATTCGTCCTGTTAGAAATTCAGAGAGTGCGTGACGGCAAAGTGTTTTCATTTTTCTTAGTCAAACATTGCATTGAAAGTTGCCAAGAGCCGCTACATTTCTTATTAAATAGTTTTCCAGCCCCGGGTTTCCAGCCCGATTCCTTCAAAAACAACTTGAATAGATTTATTCTGGATTTTATGTAACTCGGCTCGCGTCGTTGCAACTTTCAAGGAAGATTCCTTCGATGGACGACTGCATTTGAACTTTTTTTAGTACCTTTACTTTAGATATCTTGTTTTAGGAAAACAAAAGAAAAACAGTGCGAGAAATATGACTAGAATACGTGCATCGCGGCCAGACTTATTTGACAGCTAGTCATTCACAGTTGCGTTATTTTTTAATTAGTAGGCGGGATGGCGAAAACAATGGCTTCCTTGCAGGCGTTCCCCTCCTCCCTCCTTCCTCGCGCGCGGTCTCGCTCCCTAATTCCCTTCCCCTTCCCTTTCGAACACCTGCCACGCAGGCTAGTAACGCAGCGAAAGAAGTAGGAACTGCATCAATCAATACGCATCAAGTACCAACACCTAAAGTTGTCAGTAACATGACTTTGTTCATTCTATCTAGAAGATAGAAGAGAATTCTAAAGAGCCAAGGGAAACTCCGAAACTACAGCCGCAGTGTAAATTCTGCAGGAAGACAGATCATCAGTTGGATGCATGCTTTAAGTTTAAGATTGAGACACTTGAGAAAATATTGCAATTCGTTAAGGAAAACAAGCTGTGTGTCGGATGCTTAAGTAAAGGTCATATGACCAGTCATTCCAAAAAGAAGTTGACTTGTTAGACATGCAATAAGAAACACCCCACCTTCCTTCATCAAGAAAGAAGAGAAACAAGAAGGACAGAAGAAAGAAGAGTAGACAGCGAGTCATCAAACGTTCCAAAATCTACTTCTTGCAATTGTACATCTAAAGAAGTCTCAAGTGGCACCTCAAGGATAGTTCCTGTCGGGCTATCGTCATCTAACAGACCCGAAGAGGAAGTACTCTTATATGCTATCTTAGACACACAAAATGACTCCACATTTACGTTGAAAGAAACCTACGATGAACGTTACGTACATAAACAACCAACTAAGTTTCGACTGAGCACTATCACTACTAAACAGACACTCGCCGACAGCCAGGAAGTCTCGGGTCTTCAAGTAAGAGGATACAATTCTGAGCTCAAGATTCCAATACCTGTTGCTTACACGAGTACATCGATACCAGCCGATGAAGACCATATACCGACTACAACCACTGCTAAGAGTTGGAGTCAACTGCGACCAATTGAAGACAAAATGCTCGATCTATTGGACTGTAACATAGGCTTGCTTGTTAGATGACTGCTCTCATACATTGAACCCAGGAGAAGTTATTTCTGGTGAGAGTAACAAGACGTATGCTATCAAGGCAGATCTCGGATGGAGCATAGTAGGTGGTGAAACAGCCAAGAGTGGAAGGTCGTTTTGCCAAAGGGTTGCTGTAAGGGGGCTACCTGCTGTAACAATGAATGACATAGTACGAATACTCGAGTCAAACTTCAAGGAAAGTAAAAATGATCAGAAGCCTTCTCAAGAAGACTTGCAATTTCTTAAGATTATGGAAGAGGGAATCAGAAAGACCGAAAACGGACACTGTGAAATGCCACTGTCATTTCAGGAGTGGCCTCTACTGCCTAACAATCGCTCAATAGCGATGACTCGTCTTGAACATCTCAAACGAAAATTCCTGAAGGACTCTTAAGTACAAAGAAGACTAAATCAAATTCATGGATGAAGTGCTTAGCGGAGGAGACGCTGAAGAAGCGCCACCACTCATACAAGACAATGGAGTGAAGTGGAATATACCTCATCATGGTGTCTATCACCCAAAGAAAAACAAGATAAGAGTCAGTATTTGACTGCTCAGTAAGATTCAAGGGAACTTCCTTAAACGATCATCTGCCAGTAGATCTGACCTAACTAACAATTTGAAGGGTGCACTCTGCAGATTCAGAAGATATCCTTGCTCTGTTACTTGCTATGTGGAGAAAATGTTTCACCAGTTTGTTGTAAGTGAAACTGACCTTGACTATTTGCGATTCCTTTTGGTGGCCTAACGGTGATATCAAGCAAGAGCCCAAGGAGTACAGAATGAAAGTGCATTTGTTTGGGACAACATCTTCTCCTGGTTGTGCCAGCTACGGCTTCAAACACATGGCTAGTAAAGAAGAAAAAAGCGTACCCTTCAGCGGCAAGGTTCATTACTCATGATTCTATGTAGATGACGGACTAGCCAGCATTGAATCTGCCAAGCAAGCAAAAGACCTGATCGGAGGAGCTCGTGAAGTTTTCAAGAAAGGTAGCCTTTGTCTTCACAAATTTATAGCAAACGATCGTGAAGTGCTCGAATCAGCACCAGAAAGTGAGAGAGCAGTAGACATCATCCTGGATCTGCCATCAGAAGAACTTCCTATAGAAAGAGTCCTTGGTATTCAGTGGTCAGTGGGGTTAGCCTGCTTCGGTTTCTCCATCGTTCTGAAGGACCAGCCCTTAACTAGAAGGGGAGTACCTGCCTCTGTCTATGATCCTCTTGGATTTCTAGCCCCCTTGGTCTTGAGAGCAAAGAAGATACTACAGGAAATATGTAGGAGAGGTGTAACTGGGATGAGCCTCTGCCTGAAGATGTTTGGGGCCAAGGTGGGAGCGGTGGAAACGTGATCTGCTGCGCCTCGAGGAGTTACAAATTCCAAGATTCTTCGAGCCGGAGACGATGAGCTAAAAGAAGAGCTACGAGGTACACAATTTCGCTGACGCAAGCACGTTCAGATACGGACAATGCCCCTACCTTACAGTGGAGGATGAAGACGGAAACGTGACTGTCTCATTAGTGATGGGAAAGTCCCGTGTCGCTCCATTGAAGATTACTACTATACCAAGATTGGAGCTCACCACTGCAGTAGTTTCCGCGAAAGTTGGCGTGATGCTTCAAGAAGAATTAAACTATGCCAAACTTAAGCAATACTTTTGGACCGATTCCAAAGTAGTACTTGGTTACATAAATAACGACGCCAAAAGATTCCGTAGAATTGTCGCCAACAGAGTACAGATAATCAGATCCAACAGTGACACCAAACAATGGCAACACATCGACACCAAGAATAATCCAGCAGATCACGCCTCAAGAGGATGAAATGCTGAAGAACAAATGAGGTCCAACTGTGGACCCGCGTTCTTTACGAAGGAACGAACTCTCAAGGGCCATGAAGGAGTTAGATAATGACAAGATTCAGTCATTTGACAACCAATCGCTGCGAAATCGTTATGAATGTTCCTTATTCCAGTCACTGGGGAGTAAGGAAACAATGGTGAAAGGTCCAGTTTCTGGCAGAACAAGTTTGGACAAGATGGCGAAAGGAGTGCTTCATCAACGTGAATTCAAGACAAGAATGGTTTCAGTCAAAGAGAAATCTGAGAATCGGTGACATCATAATCGTTTAAGAAGAAGTTCCACCGAACGAGTAGCCCCTTGGTAAGATCATGGACACTTCAACAGATCAACAAGGCCTCGTTCGATCTGTGAAGATAAAGCCTGGATCCAGAAATTCTCAGAAGTAGGGAAACGACACAAAACCCCATATCATAGAAAGACCAGTGCAAAAAGTAGTCCTCCTGTTGGAAGGCGTGATCAAAGACAAATTCCAATGGCAATGTTTGAAGCGCAGAGTAAAATTATTCATGACTATTACGTCACTTTTAGGATCATAAAGAATTTGGTGGGAGTGTAGCTACCGCGATTAGCTGCGCGTTTAATTGCTTTAACCCACTTCTCTTTTTTATCTGAAATCTTATGATGTTTTGTTTTCTTCACGCGCGCGCTAACGCAATTTCTAAGACATCAGCAAGGTAAATATTTACGCTAAATTTCTTATTTAAGTAAGCGCTTTGTAATTTTATCCTTTAAGACCGATTTTATCGCTGATTGCAATGTAAAATCAAGCTGTTAGATTTTAGACGAAGTTAAGTTTACCCAAGACATCGTTAACCGTTATTTTGTAAATTTTAGGTTTTTACCTGTCTTTGTTGTTACTTTTAAAACGGATGAAATGTAAGTATTTTCAGTATTTTCACAATCGTATATGTAATTTACTCTTACCTTTATCTTAGTTCTCACGGTGTTTATTGAAGTAAGAGGTTAAGACAAATAAACATCAGTAAATTAACTAGCGTCACCTAATCACTGGAGCAATAGCGACTAAGAACCTGCGTTTTCCCAAGTTAGCCGAAACAAGTGCTTAGTACATAAATGTTAATTACCACAAATTTAGGTTATTTAGGTTCTTGAAATAATGATCATATTTTCTGAAGAAAAAAGTACATTGTAGCTCAGAGTATTAAGTGGTATTCAGCTCATTCCTTAGGTTGGAGTAATATGGCACCTATGTCTCCAAAGAGGATCCTGAAAGTTGACATATTTCCCCAAGGACACAGAATTGTGGTGGAGTTTTTAGAAAATAAGTGCCTGTTTCAAATTTTAGGCTAAGCAGTTTTTTGTACAAAGGGGGGCGAATTTTTGCCTAACATGTTCTTAAAAACCAGTTTCTTAGTCGCGGGTTCTAACTGTATGTGTCACAGTTCAAAATTAAACTCAGGTTAAAATTTTTCAACCTACAATCCTATAGCATCTTAACATCGTAGGGATGGTGAGAGAAAATTTATCTGTAGATACATCCTTTACAACAAAAACGCAATTTTTCGCTCTTTAGTCACAGTAGTCTCTTTGAAATGGAGAGAAAGAAGAACAAGATAATTTTTCCTTACTGGATCAAGTGAGTAAAAAAAAATTCTGGATACACGCGTCCAACATTGTTTGTGGGGTGAGGGGAGGGGTTGGACCTGTGTGAATTGGAAAACGCCCCAGAAACGCAAAAGTGTCGCAAGACGTTTGTCCATGATTGTAGGTTGATTCTCTATTTCCTTTGTCTTCTAGCCCTAATTATTCATGACCTGTGGCTTGAAGACAAAGGAAATAGACCTTTTTACCGATACGGCGGCCATATTGAATTAATTCGTTTTAAGGAGTATTACAGGAGGCCCAGGGGGCACGAGCACATTTAGTTCGTATTTTCGAGCGCTTTTCGGGACATTTTTTCTTAAAGTTTTCTTAGAATAAGATTGTAATGGGAAAAAAGATCCTTGTGCCGTGTTTGGATGTAATAATGATCGCCTTTTTCTAGTTTAGTATTAGAAATATGGTCTTTCACTGTATATTTCTCGGGAAAAAGGCGATCATTATTACATCCAAACACGGCACAAGGATCTTTTTTCCCATTACAATCTTATTCTAAGAAAACTTTAAGAAAAAATGTCCCGAAAAGCGCTCGAAAATACAAATGAAATGTGCTCATGCCCTCTGGGCATACTCCTTAAATCGAATTAATTCAATATGGCCACCGTATCGGTAAAAACGTCTATCAAGAATTTACCTAAAGGGTGTAGGTTAAAAATTTTAAGCTGAATATAATTTGATCTGTAACATATGCACACTGCAACTGAATCCCAGTATGGAAGAATAATCAAAAAATTATTTGTTATTATCTAGTCAGCTTAAGTTGTGTAACTAGTGTCACCTATTTCATGAAAAGCACAACATTTTCGAGTTATTACCTTGGGCTAAAGTGTCAGACTGGACATCTCCATCATAATTTTTTGCTGCCCAAACAAAACCACCAGGTGACTTCAGGGCATATGCCACCTACAAAAGCATACCATAACCCAAATTTGACTAAATACACTGAAAAGCTAAAAAGATCTGTAGGAATAAAGAATGGGGGAAAAACAACTTACTTATTACATGTATGTGGAAATAAATAATTGACATTCTACTAGTCAAAGAAAACTTTCGTTGTTTAGGGAAAACCAGAACCAACAAGTGCATACAACCTGAGCGTAAGGATTTACAGGTTCACTATCACCCAGTAAATTCACTCACCATGTCATCAATAAGCCGGTGCTCATACCAAATTCCAAGATCTTTAAACTGCTGTTCATAACTCCTAAAAGCAATAAAATCCCCAATATGTATTTTACACTTTTGCACAAGATTTCTGGGTTTACCTCGGCATAAAATATTGTGAACGTTTTCTTTGTTTCCCACCTTTTATTTTTCTAGGTTCTAATGTGTTGATATTTTTGTTTTCTTTGTTTTATGTCAACCATGAGTTTAACAGGTTGTTACACTGAGACTGAGCTAGATACAACAATCTTATCTAAAAGCCTAGCTGTACCTTTGATAGATCTCTTCAAAGATGTCCTTAAACCGGCCATCATACTTCTTAAGGATGGTGTTCTTGGTGCTCATGTACAGAGGCCACTCCTTGTTCAAGGCATATTGAAAGCAGCTGTGAGCAAAATCTCTAATAGACTGAGAAAAAGAAGACTACTGTAAGCTACTGCAGAGTCTTTTACAAAATTATTTCCTTTTATTTGTTCATGAAGAGCCAAAAAAAAATCGTAAAAATTTCCTTAGAAGTCAACAATTTTCGGCCTGGCGCACTCTACTAGTGTAAACAGCTAAAAATCTCACATCAATACACCGTATTCATAAATGGAGGCCGCACGGAACGGCCTGGTTTCGAATGCATGAATGCGAGGCTTGGTATGCCAGAGAATGCAGACTTGTATTTTATTTAGGTTTTGTGACTAAAATTTCTCATAAAATATTCTTGAAATCGTCGATATTTTTGGAGGATATACGCAGAAAATCGTTTTCTTAGTCATTAAACGGGATATCCTTGAGTTAACTAACGATTTCCAGCGCGGAAAGGCTGAGAGATGCCGACAAATTGCTGTGTGCCGCTCTGTACGAAGAAGGACAAGCGGGACAAGGAGACGGGTGAAAAAATTTCTTTTTTTCGCTTCCCAGAGGAAGAAAACATCAAAAAGCAATGGATTCATGCTATAAGGAGAGATGTTGGACCAAATTTTTCAATAAACGAGGGAACCCGAGTTTGTTCGAGGCATTTCAGGGGGGAAGATTTACAGAGAAGTCTCAGTGGAAAAGTTAGCCCCAGAACAGCTATTATGAAATTATTAAAACTTGGATTGCATTGATATTTGGTTAGAAACTGAAGTTTAAGAACAGCTTTCCAATGAATATTTTTGTTCTGGCTATAACACTGAAATGTAATGAAAATATAAAAAATATGGCTTAAAATGGGACCACTTTTCAACAATGCTCATAACATTTACAGTGTAACCTCAAGTATTGTTGGATTTCTCTCCTTCCAAGGCTGCTGCCTAATGGGCGCCTGCCTACGATTTGCCCCTGGGTGACAAAAATTCCAAACAAGGAGCCTGAAAGGCCGCCTAAAACTTACGATTCTCAGGCCAACATCCGGTGAACAAAACGACAGAATTCCCTGCTCATCCTGTACTTTTGAAAAGAAAACGTAAAATGTTTGGTCGTCGGCAGTAGACAAAAAAAAATATTTCCTCCGATGAAAGGTAAACAAACAAGCTGCTTGTCTTGAAATTCGCTTCTGTGACTTCTGCTATAGTGCAGTTGAATTTTCTCGTCTGAAAATGGCCTCGAATTAATTGAATATTCTTAGAAAAGCCTTCAGTATTAAAATCACAACTTTTCCCCCAGCGTTATAAAAACTTTAAGTCGCTATATCATAACATGATACCGATAAAAAGTCGTCGTAATGCGTGAAAAAAGCGCAAAATAGCGACGTTGTCAATTTTTAGGCCCCCTGCAAGACTCAGACAAACAAACAGATCTTCCGTATGAGGAATATGAGAAATGCAGGAGATGTGAAGGTTTCTTCGAGTGCTAAATCCACAGTTCTTACAGAAAACGACGACGTTCTGAGCTCTAAGTTTGAGAGCGAATCTGCAAACTATACCGTTGAGCAACTTAAACTCCCGCTTAGTGTAGGGGTCTCAAACAGGCGGGAAAAAGGGAAGACTTACTCGCACATGTGAACAACTGTCTCAAGAGCGGAAACCATTACATTCTCAATCCTAGTATAGACGATTGGAAATTTTGAAAGACAGGAAAGCTGAAAGTCTTGAAACTAGTACTGAGACCATGCCTGACGTTCCACTTATTCTGAAGACTAGTTGGAAAACATTTCTTTCCCAGGACTTACCTAGGTTATTCAACTACGGCTATGTTTATCGTTGTCCTTGAATCTTCGCCATCTTTGCCGGGGAGCAAAATGACCACCAAGAGGATGAAGACAGAGAACTTACAAGCGGAATTGGACACATGACAGACAAACCAATTTCTAATGGACATAAGTACATGGACTTGGGTTTTGTGCACGATATGGGAGATACGAAAACGAATGATTATTACTACGTCAAAGCACACGTTTGATGTACATGTATGAAAACCCCATGTTCCTATGTTTTGGTGATTCTATCAGTTAAAAGCGGAGCAGTAATACATGCTTCATGCGATCCCTGCAAAGCCTCAGAACTTGGTCGCTGTAGCCACGTGGTGGCAGTTTTAATGTGGCTAAATATCATTTAGGCAAAGTTAAACTCGAGCGAGCTGGTCAGCGGTCTTCTCCCACTTCAGTATGTGACCTACGAAGCGGCCCGCGGGGAATTGCAGGGCTCCTTGTGTGCCCTTTTGCTAGTGTTGCTTTGCTTTGTAGCTTTGCCTGCTGATCGTAGCGGATCAATGTTTGCCTTCTTGCGAATCATTGCGGATTCTTGCTGATCGTAGCGGATCAATGTTTGCCTACTTGCGAATCATGGCGGATTCTTGCTCCCTCTCCTCCCTCCCTGCCTGGTGGTTTGGCAAGTATTTTCTCAGGTAAGTATCTCCACTGAATTTATTCAGTGTGACGGTGCCGGTTAGTGGCTGCTCTTGGGGTGTTTCCCGCTTCCAGGGTTGCCATGGATACCTCCTCTCTGCTTATTGCATTTGGCCCCTACTAACCTTTAAGGCACCTGCTCCCAAGCTCATCATTAGCGATGAGTTTAACTCTCACTTGTAGATCATGTTAAAAAACAAGGAGCAGTAACGACCATACTGTGTATTAGCCAGGAATGCATTTGGGATAAGGGAAAGAAGAGAAATAAAGACCCTCAAAGGTTATCAAATCATTAAACTTTGCCTAATCTGTGCCTAAACTGCACACGAGTTGCTAAAAAAGTGCGCCAGTTTACTTTCATTTTCCGGTCTTTTGCTGCGGCTAGGCTCAAGCCCTACACCTCCTATACTCCTGATTGTATTGTATTGTGTTTTATCCGAATAATTTTTGTTATTCGTACCAAATTTTCTTCTTTTTCCCAAGTCAGGTTACAAACATTTTCAAGACAGTGCCCATGAAATGTGCCTTGGCAATATTTATAACGTGCCTTGACTGTTATTACAGTGTTCCTAATCTGTGCCCATGCACGTTTTTTTCCTGTGCTTTGACACAAAAACTGTGCCTTCTCTTAATTGCGAAATAGTGTGTACATTTGAAGGCACCGTTTTACGCTCGTGTACACCAGTAGCGTGGGCAAGCTTTTCTTTTAACAGCGTTGTCTTTAAACAGTAGCCTAATATGTTTTGTCTTTTGCTGATTATAGTCGAAAAGATACTTATCACAACACTATCGAAACGTCCAATCCAGCCTTTATCTTTCACTAATAGCACAATATGGAGGTCAGGGGGGATGAAAAAGACATGGTTGCCATGCCAACATATTGGAAGGAAGTATTAGTGCTGCATTGAACAATGCAGCCTTGAGACAAAAATAATGAGAAAGCATCCTTGATGGCATGGGTAGAGAAGAAGTCCCCAGGAAGACAGAATGTTACTCTGAAGACCAACGTGACTGATGCGCAGGACAGGCCCTCTTTGAGGCTCACTTAAATAGGAGAAGAATAGGGAATTAGTCTATCTAGTGACTACCTGCCAAACGTGCAGGAAGACTTGGCCCTCAACGAAGTACAGGAAATAATAGACAGCAAGGTAAGTAGCCAGTAGTTCACAATCAGAGGCAATGTAAGATGCACTGGACTCAAATTCTTTGAAATGTAGGTTTCCATTGCCCCTTAATGAACTGTTCAAGCACAGCTCCAACTGCAAGGTTGGATGCCCCCATGGTGATGCAAGTAGGTGCTTTGGAGCGAGGGTACACAACATCATTGCTCCAGACAAAGTATGCTTATCCTGTGATAGAAGCTCGTTAACAAGAGGTGAAACTGTCAGCTGCCAGGGCCTGTTGCAGAGGCTGTAGGACCTCAGCACACCAAGGTAAATCAGTGGTAGTACAGTGTAGTAATGAGGCCAACAAACTGGTACAATGCCTTCATGTCCTGAGGAACTGTCAGGAAGGTGCAAACTGCCTCAACATGCTTAAGGTAAGACTGATACCACTGGTGTTAATGGTATAGCTCAAGAAGTTCAGTTTGGATTTGCCAAAGTCACATTTGGTAGGGTTTATGACAAGCCTGTGGTCAGATAAGCATTGAAACCGTGCTTGAAGGTGCTGAAGGTTTTGGGCTGGGGAGGAGCAAGCAACTAAGATGTACATGTATCCAAGTCTGGATCAGGACATACATCATCAATAAACCACTGAAAGGTGTGAGAGGCATTTCGCAAACCAAAAGGCATGATGCCGATGTTGTCCTCAGTAACATGGATCTGTCAGGCATGTACCAAGTTGATCTTGATAAAGCTGGTTTAAGCGCCAAATTGGAGGCAAAATCCTTGATGTGCAGGCCAGTGGGGTAGGCGGCTGGCTTGGGGATGTCATTCACCCTACAGTCATCCCCACAGGGAGCCATTTCCTTTGGAAAGCATGTGTAGCCGAGAAGCCCACATGCTGGAGGAAGGGCATAATTATGATTCCCATGTTAAGAGGTTTATTGAAGTTGGCTTTGGTAAACAATGCTTTGGCTTGAGCGAGCTTAAGCTTAGGGGTCAGACGGCCAGAAATATGGCAATTTGAGCATAACAGCGTGATTGGTTGAAGTCAGTTAGATAGCTTTGTTAGGCATGATCAAGTCAGAGTCACCAATTTAGCATGATGGGGAAACAAATTGACACTAATACATCTTACACAAGTCCTTTTCATTTCACAACTTGCAAAAATGCACAAGATCACAATTAGGGGACCGTGAAATTGGAAATGCCCCCTCTAGGAATGCAAATATCATCAGCACAAAGGAATCTAAGAATCAACATAGGTTTAAGAATGTTTAACATGGATTTAATTTTGACCTGTGACATTTACACAGTGTACCAAGAAATGATAGGAATTAAACCTGACCATTGTTATTTCTTAAGTTCAGCACAATGAAGTGCTATTTTAAATACCTCATCAGTGTTATACATCCCCATGGTAACACCACCAGTGCCAGTGAACTCAAACACCTCCGTGGTGAGCTTGCCACTCCCATCAGCTGGAGCAAAGGAGATTTCAAAAACTCCTGGCCCATTTACAACAAAATCTCTTGCACGGTACTAAAAAGTAACAAAGACAAAACCTGAAATAAGTTAATTGGACACTATTACAAGAAGGAAACCAATGAACAATGTTTGTTACATCAGTCTTGGGACACTAGCTTTTCTGGGCGTTTTCTAATTCACACAGGCCCAACCCCTCCTCTCACCCCAGAACAATGTTGGGCACGTGTATCCAGAATTTTTTCAGACTGTTGACTTTGTATAGGGAGGGGGGAAGAAGAACTGCAAGAACATTTCGAAAAGGATGTACTGTTTCATAAGGGAACCCAGAATTGCAGAAAAACATGAATATTGCATTACTGTGGTCCCAAGGACTTTTGTCCTCGATTGTAGGTAGCACATGTTCTTTATGAAAAAAAGAGAAAGACACTGCTCCACATAGACACCTGGTATCTTCCATGGAGATTAGGCCATGGTTGACGACTACGGTGTTTTCAAGCTAGATTTTCCTATGGCACAGGTTAGAAATCATTGAATAACTTAATAAAGGTAATGTATTAACACATAAAACCTTTCTACATGTAAATTCATATTAAGGATGAATGTCACTAAGGATTGAGCAAAATTGGAAATGGTCAAACAAAACCTTCCCTCATACTTATTGTGCGGTTAGTACTTCAGATGAAACTACTCACTGTGGCATGTTTGACTTCAAACAAACACGTGCACTGGGCATCAGGGGGGAAGTTTGGGTTACAAATTGCATTTTTGGGGACAATTATTTTCTCCTTGACAGTTGGAGTTTTGTTGGGTAAATATTTCAGAAAGGAGTCTAATAGTTAAAAATCTGCTAACACGATAGCAAAATATATGAATAGCATGAAATGATTCACAAAGAGTGAAATATTACATCCTGTTTAGATTTTGATCTAAATCGGAGTGCTAGTAAGAAAAAAAATGTGTTCAAATATGTATATTTTTTAGCATTGTCAACAAAAATGTTCACCCCTTGTAAATGACAATGAACAGGGGTCGTCGGGGGGGGGGTTAGAGAGAAATTGATAACACTTTTATTGAGATGAAGGATGATAGTTTGCTATCATGTAAACAGTTTTTTAACTGTTAGTATCCTTTCTGAAATATTTACCTAACAAAACTCCAACTTTCTAGGAGGAAATTTGTCCCCAAAAATGCAAGTTTTGGCCCAAACTTACCCCCTGATGCCCAGTGCATGTTTTTGTTAGAAGTCAAACAAATGCCACAGTGAGTAGTCTCATCTGAAGTACTAACTACACAGAAAGTATGAGGGAACGTTTTGTTTGCCCATTTCCAATTTTCTTAATCCTTAGCGACATTCGTTCTTAAGCTGTCAGATTATAAGACAACACATCACATGACCCATGTTAAATGTGTACTACAGCTGTATCTGCTTCTTTGAGCTTGGGGTGCCTGTGGTTCCGTAGTTCTTACTTGATCACCATGTGCATGTCTACCAATAACAATGGCCTCCTCCCATCCAGGCACCAGCCTTGGAACTGTCTGGCAAATGATTGGCTCACGGAACACTGTGCCACCCAAGATGTTACGAATTGTGCCATTAGGACTACGCCACATCTTCTTCAACTTGAATTCTGTTACAAATTTGATCCATTGTTTGTCAGACACAGCTAATAGTTTGTATTGCTCATTATATCTTACGGCATTTGATTGGCTCAGACCAACCACTCTATTTTTCTTGTTTTATTTGTAAAGGAAGGTCTTATATCAAACTATCCAAATTAATCCTTAGTTGTACAGTTTTTAAAAGTAGCTATGCTAACAATACCAAATTAACTACTACCTACATTTATGTCATTAACATGTTAATAGCGAGCTGCCAGATTTTTCAACTGAACGGATGGCTATCATATGCAGAGAATTTAGATTAAACCTCTACAACTTGACCCATATGTTCACCCAGATGCAATGAATGACATGAAATCTCACCACATGTTGCAAGTAAAAGGGCTAATCAACAATATTGTTACCTTTAACTCAGTATTAAATTTAAGAATTTCTTCATGCTTAGTGTGTTTATATCCAGTTGTATGGATGCATGCAGGAAGTTTGGAGAGTATGAAAGATGCGCAAGAGTTGCCTTGAGCAACTCTAGCTTCTTGAGTGCTCTCCAAACTTCCCAAGTGCATTCATAACTTGATATGAGCACAGCTAAAAGCATGAGCCAATTCTTTTATAACATAGCTGACAAAAATGCTCGCTGTTCAATTAACTGCAAAATTCTCATAACGCGTGACACAGAAAAACAAATGCTTCTATTGGCTGGTTACAAATACATATATGCCACAATCATCCAGTTTAAAGAAAATTCTTTCTGTAAAACTGAGAAAGAAAATTTGCTTATTTATTCATTGACGATCAATGGAAACTAAACATGAAACGCAGGTAAAAGAGTCTTAAAGTCCACCTAAAGTTAAAATAATATATACTCACATGTTTGTTAGAAGGCTGGAGTATGGTTTGGATTTGCTGAAAAGATGTTTATGTTTTGCTTGGCGAAATCCAGAAAACTTGTTCTTTTAGTGAAGGCGACTGTCATCGTGCTTTACATTCATTTACGAACAATGGCTCGTCATTATGGCTTTTTGAGAAGACCTGGCAGCAGTTGTTTTTGTGACTAATAAATTTATGTCCTCTTGTGTAATTTGTCTTCTTATTGCAAGAGAAACATTCCTGATTTAGTCGGATTGTTCAGCGAAAACAAAAGTGTATAATTTTTTTCGCTATTGAGCTTACTTTATAATTAACCTGTTTTGTCAAGGATAAACAAACTTAAAAACAGAGGACACTTTATACAAATTGGATTAGGATATTTCCTGACAAAGACCAAATTGTGGTCTTTTTCCACCTGAATGTCAGTCTTTACGGCAGACTTTTCAACGATTCAGGCTCTATTAATAATTATTACAAAATGCGAGAAAGTTTTGCATCATTGCTGTTGATGTTTGGGTACTTAGTACGTAGGGTAAAGAGACAAAAAACACAGCTGGACACATCAATTCATGAAAAAAATCTGTATTTACACATGGGCGGGCGTAAATATAGATTTTGTTCATAGTGGCTCAATAGGACTTATATAGGGCAAGCATGTGCGCTATGTTATAAAAAATGGTTGTCTATGACCTGAACATGTGGCAAGGCAAACTTTTTTGCCTTGAGCCTTTATGGTGACCTTGTCTCATTAGTTATTGAGGGGAGAACAATAGGCAAAAAGGCCACCTGGAAGACCTCAAGCAGGATAGAGTGAAGGATGGCAGCCCTTATGTAGCGGTCAAGAGTCCAAGAACTACATAGCGATCGAGAACTGTAAGGAAGGACCTGCCTGTGGGCAGAACACTCACACACACACCTCTACAAATCATTACCTTAATAACAGCAAGAAAAGAACACAAATCTCAAAGTTGTGGTCATGTGCAATTTTAACACTACATAGGTTTTTTTTATTACATGTACCTTCAACTCTTGCCTCATCTGGGGTAATTGTAGCACATTTGATTCCAACACTATACTGCTTTATGGCTTCTGCTGCCTCAACTGTCACTTTGTCATCCGTCTTGTCTCGGTTTGGCAGACCAAGGTCAAAATATTTAATGTCAAGATCCAAGTACGGAGTAATTAGCTAAAAAAGAGAAAAATAAGGACAAATGTGTGGTCAGACTAGTACTGTCCTATCAACATGGAGGTATTTGGGTAGATATTATGATATTTAAAGGTAAATGTAATTATTCATCACTCCACCAATATGAGATGCTTGCACCTTTCACTCAAGTGGATTTACTGGGTATTTGTAGCCTACATACATGGATATCAAAAAGGTCAAGAAAACATTTCTCTTCACTGCTTTCACCCTATTATTATACACTATATGATGAATCAATGGAGTTTTAAAATCTAAAGGACACATGAGCAAGTTTTAATCTGGCACAAAGGCACCCACGCTAAAGGACGTAAACAAGGTAGGGTCAACAAGGCAGTATGATAACACTGTAACTGTAAAAGTTGTCAGTAATGCACTGTCCAAATGAAATCTTTGGGTCGTCAATGTTTGACATGCATTTCATAAAAATGAAAATTGGAAGATTGTCGTGAACACAAGTTGTACTGAAGCTGCATGCGAATGGCCAAGATTCTTGGGATCATATCAAGAAAATAGATAATGTTAAATTTGTATTCAAAAAAAGGTGTGACAGTTTCATTTGTCAGAATTATTGAAGGTTCATATTAGCGTTATACTGCCACTAGATGACTTGTATCACTAAATAAACTATGACTTTTTGTATGCATGTGCGCATCCTGTGGGTCAAGGAATTCCCCACCACTGACACAATTAAAAGTGAATTGCCAATAGGCTTTTGTTGGAGCTAGTGAAACCTTTCCAAAACCTCCTGCCTGAGGCTTCCAGAAAGCGTACAACAGGTGTCACCTCCTCAGGGAAACCAAATTGGACTGCTCTTTTCTGGAATTTCTCAGGACTACTGTAGGCGGACACTAATCATAACTTGCAACACCCCATACTGAAATCCCACAAGTAAAATGAAACACTGTTGATTAATCACTCACTCTTTACAGTTAAAACAAATGCAATATAACAAAGGTGTTCTTCAATTATGTACAATGTACATTTAGCCATCACAAATATGCAAACTACAGCTCGAGCACGAACAAGTCACCGACAACATTTCTGAATTTTAGCCACATATTGCTCAGCTTGTAATTAGGAGCTTGTTGGAAACAGGGTACATATGTGCTGCAAATAAATCCATCCTACATATATTGTTTTGTTTGAGTGACAATTTTTAAAGAGGGGGAATCTATCCTGAGAACAAACATGTGTACATGTAACTCTATCCTGTCCACAAACTAACTGTCTTTGTAAAGTGATTTACTACATCCCGGAGTGAGATCTAGGTTTGCAGCTTGGTGCCAGTTTTGATTTGAAGCCATTAAATATAAATGATGGCAGTTTTCAATATAAGCTTACAAGAACAGTAAAAATAGACAACGCAAATTAAAATTACTCTTATTCAACTTTAAAGCGAAAATTATTGACTATTAAGTGTGTAAATAATGATCATGATGATGGAGCTTGATGTAGAAAGGAGCAAAAGATGTACGACTTGGAAAAATTGCGTGTCAAATGCTATTAACTAAAACAATATTTACGCTAAACCACGACGGTGCATACAGTCCATTAAAAATATGACAGGACGAGTTAGCCGCGTATTTTTTCCAATTCCGAGATACAAATTCACTTGGTTACCGTAAAAATATCTTAGTAAATATTTTACGGAAGATATTCACGACGGAAGCACATGATGCTGAACTAATAAACGAAGCCTTAAATTAATGTTAACCTTTTTTGCACGCTTATAATTCGCAAGAGATTAAGACATGAATAAGATATTGAATGCATTATCTTGAGCTTACTCTTTCCTTAATCATTTTCCAGATAACACGAGTCATTTCATCGCCGTCCATCTCCACAACAGGACCATCAACTTTGATTTTCGTGGCAAATCCTTGATGGCAAACTGTTAAAACGAAAGTTTTAAATGACGCACAGTTAGAACAATTGTTTATTTGTGAGTTAGCTAAGAAGACTTCGATCTACCGGAACGTGCTTGGAAAACATCAAGTTAAACTCTTTTGCCACACTCGCAGTTCGTGAAATAATACTTACAATTCTTCGGTTGCTTATGAAGTTCAAACGCAGGCAAAGAAGCAAGCGGTCGCAGAATACTGCGTCCTCCAAAAAGCGAAATTCTAGAATATCTTGCAATTGCCGCCATTTCTCATTTCTGGAAGAAGGAAGCTTTCTGCACTAGAGTACTGGAAACTACTCGTGTTTCGTGGACTTTCGTGTCTTCGTACACGACGAGCTATTTCGTACTCTCTTAGTTCTCCGAGTTGAGAATGCGCTTGACCTTATCGGAGCGCCTTGTGTCGGGGGTTGCGTTTGTCGTCAAAGCTCTGATAATTTCAATTTCCACCATGCTTTCTGCGAGTGCTACCACAGCAAGGAGGCTCCAGCGAGCTTTTTCGAAAGTTTTGTTTCAGTCGTCTGGTGAGGTTTTGAAGCAGTCACAAAACGCTCGTTCGTTTTCAGTCTCCGATGCACGGATGGATCCACAGAAACTGCGAGATGAGTGGGGGAAACCTTCCTTCGAAGTCACGAAAATGACACGCTTACTAGATCATGACAACCATGAGAAAAAAGAGAAATTCCGCAAAATTTTGTCAGAAGACCCCCTAATGACTCCAAAATACAACATCACTGTGGACGAAGAAAGGGAGCTGGCGCTTAAACGGTTAAAGAAACTTTGTGATCAAGGTTTTATTTCTGTGTTGGATTTCAAGAACAATCCCTTGTGGATCTTTTCTGCCCACGAATTGGTAGCAGTTGTTGATGCGTCCATGGCCACCAAGATGACCGTTCAGTTCAACCTATTTGGTGGTACTGTTTTTAAATTGGGAACGGAGAGGCATCACGAAAAACTTTTAAAGGTACGGAGTTGCATAAGTTAAATTTAAGTCTGTTCATCTTCTTCCTATAATCATTTAGCGACGTAAGCAATCACGGTGGCAACATCAAGGATAACCATTAATCTTAAATGAGAAAAAGTCGCATTTAAAAGCCGTTTAAGACGTTGTTTCACTTGTCTTGTTTGACTGAATAATGACCAGTGTTCAGTTTGTGTAGTAACTTCTTTCAAGTTCACAGACAAAATTTTTAGCACAATCTTGAATATCACCACTGCACGTTGTTATGATTGTAAAACGTTTGTGCCTGTAAAGTATGGTACGCCTTTCCACTCAGTGATTGCACAAGGACTCCTAAGAAGACCACGTCACACAGACAAGCTGCTGCCTTTAACGGGTTCAAGAAAACTTGTGAAAAATGGAAATTAATTGACTTTTGTGCTGTTGTTCCTAAAATAAACAAAACATTTTCCGTTTGAAATTTTAGTCTCTGCAACTTTAACTGAAATGAAAGTAAAGGTGATGATGACCACCAAAGGTACATTATGCAAAGAAGCAAGGTATTTCAATTTTTAGAAAAATCGAACTACACGTGCATACTAAAAGTGTACAATGCGGAAATTAATATCAGTGAACTACTTGGAAAAAAGGTGCATGCAAGTTAAGTTCTATTCAACAACTCAGTTTTCTTACAATGTAGTAAATGGGGAGGAGGGTTTCTTCCTGAAAGTCGGTAGACTGGAATCAAAAGTGTTAACATTGGATACCTAGGTGCTTAGACCTACTGATCGTAAATGTTGACACACAATCGTTTCTAAGTATTCCAAAGAAAAGTTTTCAGTTGCTCAGTCAAGTGTTGATCAAATAAAAAACATTTTTGTCTTGGAAAGGAACAAAAAGGACCAAAGAACTCATAAACTCATGAGAACTGATCAAAAGCTTCCCAGGTCATAACTAATATTTCCATTGTGTGGTCCATGTGGTTTATTTAACATCGTATTTTTTACGCAGGGGCACACCAAGCCCTAGCATTTCAAATCTCATGGATAACAATTTTTGAATTCCGTGCCGGGAGATCATTGGAAACCATTGGTAACAATTTTTTGGTTCGGTGAAAATGCATGGGAACCCACTTTTATTTCTTTTATGTACAGTTCTAACATGTTGTTAAACTTAGTTTTAAATTAAAGAACATAAATGTGTGCTATTATTTACAAAAAACTTCAATGTCTGTTAATACAGCTGTAGGTCAGAAGAAGGTCAATTTAAGTGTTAAATGTGTATGCACTAAGTGTCGAAAACTCCAGACTCCTCTTCCATCCAGCTAAAGAAGTACATTCACTTGAAATGTTCGTTACAGATCTATTGTCTTTTCATAAAGGGATTTGGGCCTCATCAACAGTTTCAACAGTGAAATTATGGAACTTAAGATCCACGACGAAGTTCATGACGACAACGTCTGTTGACTGGGAAAAGACTGTAACGAGAACATCAGTTTCAGCAGGAAAAGGGAAACTTAAGATGCAGTTGGTCGGTAGGCCGACGACGACTGAATGTAAACACAAATGTAAAACGGTGAAGTTCATTCGCAACAAAGTGTTTCGCAATGGCGTCTTTTAAAACAATGCAAGATCTTATTTTTTTTGCCGTATGTCTAATTTCTTTGACAATGAAGAATTTTTTGTGTTGTCTGACCTTTTCAAGTGGAAAAACACCTGCTTTCCCTACAAAGATTATTCACCTTTCAACCTGAATAAGATGACTGCTTCCAAAGGTCTGTCAGCATTTAGATTTGGGAAAAGGGACCCTCTGATGTGATAGCTGTTTTCCATATAAAGTTTATTTCCTCTGTATTAATGATAAATGATTTGCCTTACCAGATTGCAGGTCGATGTGATTCTACGTTGTTTGGCATGTGTATTTTGATCCCCCAGTATAAATATATCAGGATATGTCACTGGGAAACTATTTTTCAGTTCTTTTATTTTAAGATCATGGTAAAGAGATGGTACCAGAAAAGATCGTTACCATGAAATCCAAGGGCTTGGAAAGATGCAGAAAGTAAAATTAATATTTGATTTAATGTGATTTGGATATGCGGTGAAAAGATTTGTACGGCAGTGAAACAGCTTTGCAGCAAAATAACTGCAACACAGCAATACAGTAGTGGTGCAAATCCACAAAGAAGGTAAAAGAGCCACTACACAACATTTAGAGAGATGAAATGTGACGCATAATGTTTTTATTTAATAAATGAAGAATTGTACATTCCCCTTGTTCAAAACTTGGAACAAGAGATTCATTATAGATTTAGTTGGCTTCTTTATTATGTGCTTAAATTACCGTATTTATTCGACTATAAGCTGAGCGATTTTTACACAAATTAAAACTGAAGTGAATTAAAATTTGGGCTCTAGAGGGGGTCTCAGCTTATAGCCGAAAGTTTTTGAAAAAAATTTTTTCTGGTGCATTGAAACTCTACTAAATCGAAGTGTATTTACTTATAAGCCGAGATAAAGTAAAGAAACACAATATGCAATTATTGGTTATTAACTTTTAAGAATGTGGTGGCTCCTAAAGGAGCCGTTTGTTAAATTTAATGTGTTTTCACAGATGTCTTTGTTGTCATCAGCGTTCATCATCATCTTCGCTGTCCTTGTCGAATTCTTCTTCCATCTCCTCATCATCTGCATCAATTTCAGGACAGTCATAGATGGCATCGTCTTCTGTTCCGTCAAGTGCATTGGAGATGCCACAAGTTTTGAAGGATCGCCTCACCATCTCCTTGGGAATATCGCTCCAAGCTTGCTTTATCCAGCGAAGGACCAGATTTAGGGAAGGAGCTTTCTTCTTGCCTGCTGGAGTAAACTTTCACTGATGGTGGAACAACAAGGTCTCTGGGAATGCGAACACCCTTGAAGGTCACTGAAAGCGGTAGTTTCTTCCCATCAGCGGCAATTGCTAGTGTGACAGTGAAGCTTCGTTTCTCAGCACCACAGGATTTTACGGGAACTGTTCTGTTGCCACTGAATTCTGAGACCAGGGTGTCCAGTTGCTATTTTTTCCTATTTTTCGAGCATATTCCTATTTTCTCCTATTTTTAAACAAAAACCTCCTATTTTTCCTCTTTTTTAGGTAGTGAAGCCAAAATTGAAAATGGGATTATAGTTGTATTGTGTTTTAAAGTGAGCTTTATCACAAACCAAGTAGTATGTTGAGTTTGGTGTTCTAATATTAGCAAAAATAATATTAGTTACATTACATTTGCTCTTTCAATAACCACTATTGCCCATTAGAGTTCTGGTTCTGGTTATAATTATTGTTACTTTTTGTATGATTTTCCAGTGCACCTACATGTACATGTATTGTATAAGATGTTATAGTTCTCATGATTATTGAATAATATCGTACATAGCCCACTGAAACTACATTTCAGTCTCTGAACACTTCATGATGTAATTATTTTGAAGTTTTGCTCCCTTTTACGTTCAGCTCTGAAACTGAAAAGATGATCAAGTTGCCCTTTAACAACACAGATCAGATAAATCATCCAATCAGCTTTTTGTTTAAGAACCAATCACCAGCTGGATTCTGTATGCTACACGAAAAGAACAGACTCAAGTTTAGTTTACGGCACTAGCTCTCTTGGTGAGCTCTTGTTCTCAGCTATTCCTAAGCAACTGGCAAAGGATCCAATATTTTGGTTCCGAAACTGTTCTTGCAATCATAGCTAAGCAGAGTGTTACGTTCCTCTTAGAACTTAACCATAATACACTTACAATCTGGTACCAAACAGATCAGTGTCATTTTGCATGCACCGCGGAAAGCTTGGTTTGGTACTTAAAACGATGCAGTCTTTTAACTCAATCAATCATATTCTCAACCAGCTGCCGATTGTAGATTAATGGAAGGAAAGCTTTCCATGGGACTTTTTAGTTCAATATCCTTTAATGACAATGCAATCGTAAGAAATTTCTATCCTAAGAAATTTCACTCCTTGAAGCTTTTCAAAGATTTGCCACCAACTTGAAGGGAATTGTCATATGATCACCTTTGAACAACCACGCTGGACCTGTAGTCAAGAATGTCATTCTGATTACAGCATAACTGAGCCAAAAAACTAAACGTTACTGTTCTTTTTCACTCCTTCTAAGCCGCGAAAGTTGGTTTAAATCCTGCAAACGTAAAGGCTAAGGACTCGTGGCCTTTATTATAGCCCTGATGGGGAGCAGGGAGGCCATCTATGTCGACGAAAGTACTATTGATTTTCCTATTTTTCTCCTATTTTTTAATACAAAATTTCAACCATGCCGCTGGACACCCTGTGAGACTGTTTGCTGCTCCAAATCTTCTGGGAGATGCTGAGCGAGTGTTGTTTTGGTGCGAAGGCTGACGGAATGGCGGCGCTTCCATTTCTGGTACCAGCCGAGGGATGCTTTAAACTCAGGATCCTTGCTGAATTCCTTTGCCTTTAGACGTAGCATCAATCCACTAACAGCTATTCCTGTGAAAAATGAAGTGAGAAGGTTACTAAATGATTGAAAGGATAAAAATTTGACATGTCTTGAATTTGTTTTGACATTGTGAAAACTGGTCAATGAGAATCTTTCATACACAATGTTGTCACATGATACTATGATAGTTTTGAGAGTCACACATTCAACTCATATTCACCCTGCAATCAGCTGATTGATTTATTTCGTGATCTTGTTTCTGTTGTTTTAAAATACAAAATCAATGCTCAACAAAAAACTTACCTTGGCTTCTCTGCTCTGTAAACCATTTCCCGTAGTTAACAATTCAGTCTTGTAATAATGAATGGATCTCAGCTTATAGCCAGGTGTTTTCGATTTATTTTTGGTTCTCGTTATGCCGAGTCTACACGTTCAAAGTTTGGGGTCTCGGCTTATAGTCAAATAAATACGGTATAGCATAGCAAATGAAATCTGACAGGAAGCTTTGATTTTCACAGTGCTTTGATAACTGTACTTGCTGTTCCTATTTTTTGTAGGGTATTGACTCACTTGAAGACGTTGGATGTTTTGGTTTGACGGAGCTTGGTTATGGCAATAATGCAGTCCAAATGGAAACAACAGCCACATATGACAAGGAAACTAAGGAATTTATTGTTAACACTCCAAACCCATTGGCACAGAAATACTGGATCACAAATGGTGCTTGCCATGCTCACCACATTATTGTGTTCTCCCAGCTCTACATAGATGGGGTTAATCAAGGTAGCTTTCTACAAAACTTGTTCCTCTCTTCAGCTTCTTTCGTTCCTGCCCTTCTTCCCCATATCCCATAATTTCCCCTTTATTTGTCTGCATAAGGTTTGATTTGATTACTGTACTTTCACTTATGGCAGCTACAGCCTCTGTGATTTTGAAAAAAATTAGGCTGGTCCTAAACCTATCCTGTCAAAGTTATTAAACTTTATGGAAAGTTGAAGCTAAAATTCTGAGAAAAAATTGCTTATAACAATTCAGGATATAAACCAAAATTACAACCATCCGGAAGCCTAATAAGGGTTTTTCTTTTAAAACACTTTATCCTGTTGCTGTGCTCACATTAAGAGGCTGAGCATACACCTTCATACCATACCATACCATATTTGAGATTGGAGTACATATTATTGTATTTTGAATTAATGATGTTTCAGGTATTCATGGTGTTCTTGTTCCAATTCGAGACAAGAACCTGCAGGTGATGCCTGGAGTTCAAATTCATGACATGGGACACAAAATGGGCTTGAATGGTGTTGACAATGCCAAGTTTACCTTTTCCAATGTTCGTGTTCCAAGAGAAAACCTTTTAAACTTGTATTCTGATGTTGCTGAAGATGGAACCTACTCAACAAGTGTTCAAGGCAGCATTAGAAAGCGTTTTCTCACTGTTGCTGATCAACTCCTCTCTGGTCGCATCTGCATTGCAAGTATGTCACAAGGTACGTTGAAATTTTATTGAAGAACAGCGAATTACAGTGTTGGTTTTCTTGATTATTCTTATCATTGATATTTTAATTATTTTTCTTTTTTTCCCCTTTCTCTCTCTTTTCTTTTTTTGTGGTAGTGTATTGTTCTTTATACTTGTATTTTGATGTTGTTATTGCAATTACCAAAAAAAACTCTTATCATTGATAATATAGAATACATATCAGTATTTGAAAGTGTGAAATCAATGTATTTGAAAAGCTACATATAGCACTGTATGGAATGTACAAAAAATCAAGCAAGTTACTGTTCTGTGATGATGTGAACATAATAATTTTTTTCTATACTTGAATGTCAAAACTCCTGCATTTGGGAAAGTTCATTTTTCATTAAATTAAACAATTCTAGAGAGGTCAGAAAGTTCACTATTTAAGGAATTATCATCTTGTTGTTTTAAAGAGAAATTTAAGAAGGTACAGAGTGAAATAAGGAAGTTTGCACAGTTTTGTCTAGTATGCAAATTGAACGACAGGCTCACAACAGCCTCCTCAAAGCCAAATTATAGAGATCTGTATGAGAATTTATTGTAAGTTCGATAAAACAGTTAAATTGTACATACCTCATAAAGAGATATCTCTGTGTTGTTTTCTGTCTTTTTTCTGCCATACAAACATCATTTTAGCAAGTTTTGCAGTTCTGGTTACTCACCTACTAAAAAGAAGGCAAGGAAAAACTCCACTGTCCTACACTTCCCAAAATAAAGGTCCAAAAATCACCTTTGGTTGACTCCAGTCACTCCAAGTATTCAACAAACATTCTTCTTCCTAGAGAAACATCAAATTCAGTTCCAAACATTGAGCTGTGGCCTCAAAAAGACAAGAAAATAGTATAACAAGAAAGTTTGAACTAGGCTCTTCATTGCTGTTTGTTTTTGGACCTTTTGTCACATCTATAAGCTTTCTTTTACTTTTTCACATTTGCATTTTCCTCATGTATATTTTATTTTCAATTTTACCACACTGATTTCAGCCTTTGAAGGTAATAGTTACAGGCTGCTGAAAACTTGGTTTTTGCATTTTTTCCTTTTCAGTCTTTACTTTTTTCTTATTAGTTAGTGTAACATGAAAGTATTCAAGTAAATGATTAATTTGCTAGTGTTTTGAGTAAGAAGGCTGACTCATTTTCACATTTGTTTCACTGAGCGTAAAATTTTACTATCTTTCATTCTTTCACCACACATCAACATTGCAGTATGCATGACATTTGTCAAATATGAACCTAGTATATGGCCTTGCTGTCCATGAGGTCTCTGTAGCTCAAAGTGGATGGAGTGCCTGTCCAGTATTTGGGAGGTCATAGGTTCAAATCCTATCGGGGACTCAGATTTTTTATTTGTCCCACGCTTGTGACATGGTGATTAATTCATTTTCACATTTGTCTCAGCGAGCTTAAAATTTACCATCTTTCATTCTTTCAAAAAGGCTGACTGATGATAATTTCACTGTTATGCCACTAAAGAACAGGATCAGGAAGTTCTTTACCAGCATCATTTCTGCTTAGTTATGTTAATGTTTTAGCTTATGCTTTATCTTGTTTGTGTTGATTCTAAGGGAATAAAAAGTTTATTATAATAATTATTAATCAACACACTTTTTTTACAGGTGCAGCTAAAGCTTGTCTTGCTATTGCTATCCGTTACTCAGCGACTCGTCTGACTGTAGGACCGGATGGGAAATCTGACACTCCTATTCTAAATTACCAGCTCCAGCAGCAAGCTCTTATGCCTCTATTAGCAGCTACATATGCCACTGACTTTGCTCTACAATATGTCAAAGATCGTTGGGCATTTCAGGTGTGATGCCATGTAGCTTTCATTAACAATTATTGACCATCATTGAATTAGGCAGTTTAGATCAAACAGCTGAAGAGTTAAGCTCACTTCAGTGCATTGCATATGTATTAATTGTAACATTATCAATCTCATGTCCTCTTTGCAGTTATTATTATTATTCTTTTATTTTCCATCTTTAGTGATTGCTTTAAAACAACTGAGGCATTAACAATACTTAACTATCCTCTCTCCTTATGAATCTTTTCAAGCATAATGAAATAAATAATTGAAATGGAACATAACAAGGATAAGAACCTCAGTTGGCTGAGAGCATGCCCAAGGATTTGAGCTCAGGACCACATACTGAGAACAAATCCAAATAGTGGTCAGGGCGGAGCCTCAAGATTACAAGTCCAGTGCTCCAACCAAGCTTGGCCATGCTCCCTCCACTGCTGGGAGTTTTTCGTGTGTAAATCTCTTAGGTCTGACAGAAGTAGCAAGAAACACCAGAAAGGTGTCATTTCTGCCTATTTGATGCTCAAAAGCATGTTTTTCAGCTGATTCTTAACAGTGTTAGTAACAGACGTCCAATTTTGTTACAGGAAAAAGATGGGTCTGAGCATGCTGATGTGGTGACAATGTGTTGTGTGATCAAAGCCATTTCTGGTTGGCATGTAGCAGAGACAGCTGCTGTTTGTCGCGAGAGATGCGGTGGACAAGGCTACCTATCTTGTAATAAATTTGGCAGTGGCATTGCTGGTTCACACTCATCAATGACAGCAGAAGGTGACAACTCAGTCTTAATGCAGAAGGTTGCAACAGAAAGGTTAATGGTTCTCAAGCCAACTATGTTTCAAGTTGCAGCAACCTATGTACCAAGTTTTGTAAACCGGATGTTCAGTTGGGCAGACCTTAGCAACCAAAAGTATCTTCATAGCCTGCTGGAGTCACGTGAAAAAGAGCTTTTTATGGCTCTCGGGATGAAAATGATGAGGGCAGGGAAAAAAGGAAGGTTTGATACTTGGATGTATAAAGAACAAGACCTTGTCCAGGCAGCTGCGCAGGCTTATGGAGAGAGACTTATCAGTGAATGCTTTGGAAAAACCCTTGATAGAGCTGATCCTGAACTGCAGCCAGTCCTTAAAAAGCTTCATCATCTGTATCAGATAAATGTGATCAAAAAGGATCTGGGTTACTTTACTACCTCAGGTTTGATGTCCACTGGAACTGGTGCTAAAGTTGGAAAGGCAGCTGCTGATTTGTGTAGGGAAGTTGCACCGCAGGCTCTTGCACTCTGTGATGCCTTTGGTATCAGCGATGAAATGCTTAATGCTCCAATTGCGAGGGATTGGATAAAGTATAATTCTGTTGATAACAAAGGCGAAGTTGAAGGTGTAGAGTTTTAAGTTCATAAGTTGAAAGGTTTTTAAATAACTTTGCAAATAAATATATCATCCCCGGGTAACATGATTGAACAATGGTATTTTTCAGGTGGAATGAAAAGATTTGACATTAAGTGATCGATTGACATTATGGGACATATAAAGTTCAAAAAGAAAGTACATGTCACAGTCAGATTTAGTAACGTGTCAAGTTTCTTTTTAAGGTGTCCTTTCTTTCAATCACAAACCACGTACTTTGTAAAACATTCGTTTCACCATTTGTACATGGCGTATACCTGAATCCGAAAGAACACGTTACGTCGTTTCTTACTTTTGTTTTTTTATTTATTACAATTAATGGTTTACATTAATAAAGAAGAAGAAATAAATGTACAAAAGCCAAGGAATGAAATGCAATAGAGTCCTCGACTCCTTGTTAAACCTTATCTCCACTAATAATAAACTATTCTTAAAAAACGACTCATTTAATAACTACAATTTGACTCTAAAAATGTTACAAATATTCATCAGTAAATTATCAATAAATAATAATAATAGAACAATATTAGGAATAGATTAACCTTGCACACAAAATAATTAAAGACTGTTCTAATCCATAAAAAAATTCTTATCTACTGCTCAAAAAGAATTTACACTTGTAGTCCTTCGGACGTGTTCTGGCAGGGAGTTCCATGTGTCAACAACCCTATGGAAATGACTGTATTTTAGGATGTTCTTTCTTGCATATCTCTTCCTAAGAGCTAAATCACAGAAGAAAGAACATGTTTAAGGCTATGGCAGAAAAGGAATTTTAAGCGGCGCCGGACCAATCTTATAATCATTATACCAGGCTCTTTGACGGCTTACTGCTTGAAAACAGTGGTGTAGATGACTATCATTTTTAAAACATTATTAGCTCGAGTAATAGATGAATTTGAACACTTTGTTTCGTCAACCTCACCATATGGTTTAAGGTTTGACTCGAGACTACTTGTTGTACAATTTCATAAAATTTTAGCACTGTTTACGTTGGTGCCCAGGAATTCTGAAAAAAAGGAGAACTTTTGCTGCGAGCGCCATTTATTTGTTGCTTGTGCTTATCAATATAACTGTGTCACGCATGTCTACATGTACTTTTCTTTTGCTTGTGATTGCATTTAGATTAACTGTTTTATTATCTTTTTACTTTTTCAAAGAAGTACATACGCTCTCGAGCTAAAATGGTCATCCCCTACTCGGCACAGTATTTTTACTTCGAAGATCAATGGCAAAAACCACTTGACCACGGTGTTTGACAATATTACTCTAGACTC